CCCCCCAAAAAAAAAAAAGCGCTCCAGGGAAAGCGAGCCTTTACTCTCAAAGATAACTATTTGTATGTATTTTTCTTTAAGTTCTATATTTCTGTTGGTTTAGCATCACAATTGAAAGCTGAAAACTCTCTGTCAGCAACCCCCAAGCCGGGGTTTCAGCGATAATGCTGACTCGGCAGTAACAGACTCTACCACTTGCGTGCTCTTTGGCCTCCAGTGTTACTTTATTCACGCTCAGAGATTTAAAAAATAATAATGATTACACAATTTGTTGTAGAGGACGGCTGTTCTAGAAATCATACAGCAGGCATATGTTACTTTTTAAATTTTTTTTTTCCTTTAAGATGAAGAAAACCTGTATAAATAGCAACTTTTTCCCTCCTTTCAGATACTAACGTTTGAGACCAAAAATCCGACGGAGCTGGCTGAGCGTTTACGATCTGTGTGTGGAAACCAGAGCAATGCTTATGCTCGGCTGCTGGAGTATCGCCTGAACGCTCTGCGGGGACTCTGGAACGCTCAGCGCCAGCTGGCCCTGGAGGAGCAGCATGACCGGGAGAGCTCGGGGGATGAAGAAGCCCTGGCCTTGCTCAAGCGTCAGGGCTTGTTACAGCAGCCTGAACAGGCACCATTTACATCACGGATGGGGCTTCTTTTGGTCTTTCCCCTCATTCAGTCTCAAAGTAGAACAGACCCTTCTCTCTGTAACATAACTGCTGAGGTGCTATTGAATTGCCTTCGAGACTGCCAGCCTTTGAGTTTGACTAAGGAACCAGCTGACTGTCTTAACGGGATAGAGTCTTTGCTGTGCTCCTGGCTGGAAGACACTTCTGCTTCAGGCCAACAGATTCCATATAAGCAAAAAGAAAATGCTGCTGCTGCCCTAGTTGCCTTGGCTTGTGCAAGGTAAGGAAGATGTACTGATACACGTTGTGGTTGATATTGGTGATAAGCGTTTGTATTTAAACGTAAGAATCAAAAATGATGCGACCACGCTCTTGATACTAATTTTTTGGTTTACACTAGTCTTTTCCTTTCTAATATTTAAATATTGGTTTGGAAAGGGTGAAGCTGATAAGCTAAGCGTTTATTTTTTGCATGCGTTTAGCATATGTAAAAACAGAAGGATCTAGGTTAGAAATGCCTCTTGTGCATATTGCTGCTTCTACTGCAGTGATCTGTTCTAGGAATGGTTCCAAACGTTTTTAGCGTGGAGGGGAGTTGTCTCATTTTCCCTTTGTACTGCCCCTTTAATCCTGTGGTTTATGCACCTTCATTTGGCTGTAGAAGGCATTATTGCCAAGTTTCAGGGCAATTAATTTCAGATTTCAGTGTTGCCTGTGAGACATCTGGAGGCACTTTTTCATTCTGTGGCTAGTGAAGAGTTCAACCAGTGTAGGTTGAACCATCCCGTGCCCTGTATGGGTTTAGCACAGCATCAGGTGATTGAGGACAAAGTGGCCGTAATTGCTTTTAATAAAAACTTGCACTTTTTAGAGGATGAGGTGTGGGGAGAGGGGGAGGAGTATATAAAGCTTAGCTTCTGCAAAGCCACATGGACATGGTGGGTCTAAAGTCACTACCAGCCTTTTGAAAATCTTGACTTAACGTTTCTCAGATTGCAGTCTTGTCTGTCAAGTTTAACTCTGATTTAAGATGTTTAAGTTCCCAGAAGATGTCATGATTTGCTTTAGAAAAAGGTTTATTCAAATGAAGAACACTTAATTTCTAGTGTACTTGTTCTAATGAAGTCAATGAGAAATCTACTGTATGTGGCAAACTCTTCTGCACTGACAACCGCCTTTTCTAAAAGGCAGTGTACTTGAACAAAGCTCAGATAAATTGGATTTGATAAACACGATCTCATTAATTTTTTTTTTTCCAGATGTCAATTTTCAGGAGGCATGGGATGTTCTTTTACAGCTGAATTTGTAAAAGGACTAAATTTCGAATACACCTTTTGATATGAAGGTTGATCTTCTATTTTCTTTGCAAGTCTGTCTTGCATTGCTTACAAAGTTGTAACATCCTGACGTGCTTTGTTCCCTATGAAAGCCTTGCGTTTTTCTTTTAAATATATAAGTCATGTTGGGTGCCATTATGAAGAAAAAACCTTAAAAATGAGACTATTATTGAGATTCCTAGTTACAGTCTCAGGTGCTTCATATTACTAAGAATAAAACAACAGGGTAAATATTGCTTTAAATAATTGAGGTGTTTTGAAGTATTCAGTGTCATTTGTCTCCAAGTTGAGATTTATCAGTGGAAGCATAGAGCTGAAAATGATAGTGTGTATGGGGGGGGGGAAACAGTTTGGGGTGTGGAGGAGGAAAGTTAAAGAGCTAAAGGCTGACCATGTGTGACAGGGAGCGAAAGGCTATATTCATTAGGGAGCATGGAAAGGATTCTTCAATTGATCAGTCATGCTTCTAAACAAATCAGTTCATAACTGACTGCTGTCAGGCCTAAGATGCAGTCAAGTCTCTCATATTTAGCTAGGCTATTATACCTGGAAATAAAGCCACCGCATCTTCCAGAAAAGAACTTTTCCTAATACCCCAACCTTTACACCTTTACAACAGAAACTGTGAAATAAATAAATATATATGTGTGTGTGTGTGTGTGTGTGTGTGTGTGTGTGTGTGTGTGTGTGTGTGTGTGTGTGTGTGTATATATATATAAATAAATAAATATATATATATGACCTCTATATTTTTTTCTTTCTACAAAAAACAGGTGTTTCCCACTCTACTTATGTACAGGTTTCATAGGTTCTCCAAAAAAAGTATTCAACTTATGAATGAACAAAAATTATAGTTACAAACTCCACGTATAGATTTTAAAGCAACACACTTTTAGGCAAGATTAGAAACAACTCTTACTTCAGTTTAACTTTGTTTTCGGAAGTATCTAGTCCTTATATACGTTTAAAAGCATCACTTCAGAAGGGGAAAAGCTTCCAAATTTGTGTTTGGATGTAAAAGTAATCAGCATCTTGGTAATAAATTAATTAGTCTGGTCTCTTCTATTTTAGTCAAGAAAGCCAGCTCTAGCTCTGTCTACAGCAGCTCTTACTAATACTTTGGCTCAGCCCCAGGAAGACCCGCAGATTATATTTGGAGATTTTAAATATGATTAATCAGCTACAAGAATAGTGAAAGTAGCTGTCTAATAGACCCAAGATGGAGGTATTTTATCACGTGCCTAGATCGCCTTTCCTGTACGTGGCGTTTATGACGCAGCCCATGGGTGCTGATCTCCCTACCTGCACGGTGGGTCATCCTCTCCCAAAATCCTAGTGTGATTTAGACCAGCAGTTCGCCAGCATTCTTCCTTTTATGTTACCCTCTCTCTTCCTCTTTTCACTTCCTCCACAAAAGAATGAAAATCATCCAGAAAAGAAATGCAAATTAGGAAAGAAGCTTGATGACATATCTTGGATATTCTCTCTTTATGGTACTGGATCTTATATTCTACATAGATGCTGTTGTCTGTGTGCATTCAGTCTTGGTTCAATAGACATCTTTAATTCATGTTTTTCTTATCCTTTTAGAGGGTCGCTGAAAACCTTTGTTCATACAGTACATCTATTACAGAAACAGACTGATCTAGGATCCTTGCCTGTGGCTGATGTATTGTACAGGTTGGTAGTGACTTTTCTAATTGTAGCACTTTCACATCAGCTCTGAAAATATGTAAGTGCCTTTACAGATAAATGTTTTTATTTGATTAAATGTGATTAAAAGGCTTTAGAGTTACCGAAAGCTCTAGGAAAGATCAAAATGTAGTCAGTTGCAGAAGGAAGATGTTAGAAAGTCAAATCTGAAAGGTTCTACTAATTGTTTTGGGGTGTTAAGTTTTAATTTTTTTAAATTAAATATTGATGATTCCTTCAAGTGGCTTATGAACTCTGACGGAGAGTATATCTTCATCTCAGCTTTTGATTTAGCTAGTTTTTGCTGTCAGCTGTCACTGTTCTCTGTGCATCTTATTTTATTTTCTGCTTAAAGGTTGTTGCTCTTGGAGGGAGGACCTGGCTCACCCTCTTGTTTGCTTGGAGGAAAGCATATAGTGTCTTGGGGCTTTGAAGACATGTTACCTGCGCCCGATGCCAACAGTAGTTCCAGCAGTGAAAATAAAGGTGAATTATTTCATGACTGTCAATATTAGCAAGGGAGGAGATGATGCTTTTAGTGGCGATAATGGTTTAAAAATTAATGTAAGGCTTTAGAGTTGGAAAGGATTTCTCCTTTTCTGTTGGAAGTAATGTAAAAGCAAGTACAGTAGATATCAAATAACTGCCGAAGGGTTTGGAAGGACCAGCTGGAGAGAGAACTGGGCATCACAGGAGTGTCTTGAAGCCTGATACACAATGAGAGGGGGAGGGCAGCAACTCTCTGGGCGCTTTGTTGTCTTTGTAGGTTCAAAACATGTTTTTTGAAAGTTTTGAAAACATGCACCTAATTTACAGGAGTACTAAGTTGTTTACATTGTTTGGCTTGCCATACCTATTCTCGTTAAGTTAATCTAATGAGATATGTAAATGATTTGTTTTGCTTTTTTTTTAAAGTTGATTTGGGAATCAGATAGAAAACATCATCCTGGTTTTATATTAAAATTAAGAGGCTAAATCTTAAGTCTGGTGTGTTAATGATAGTATGCCTTTTTTTTTTTTTAATTAGCAGCATAATGGGGTTCAGAGAACATTGCTTTTCAGTCGCTGAAGATCAGATGGTGTTTTAAACTGTCTGGTAATCAGGCTGTAGGAAATCAATCCAAAGCCATAGATACAGTGACCCACCGTGACTTCAGTGGGAATTTTGCAGAGAGGTCAAACTGAGTTTGGGTATTATCCACTCGTTAGTCTCTCAGTAAGCGTAACTTATTTGTCCTGTGCAGTATCACTGTATTCAGTAGCTAGCTATCCTTGGCAGAGCATGTTTATTTTTAGAAGTACAAGTTCATTGCTTTCTTTTTTTGGGTTCCCTTTTCCTACTCTCCTTTTGTTTCTGTCCAATATTTTGTATGGGGGTTTTTATGCCTTCTCTTGTATTTCTTTCCCTGAATTAACTCAGTTTTTGCTGCTTTGTTTGCTTACTATTTTTTTTCACTAAATGAGCGCGTTCATATTGTTTCAGAAATATTATTTCAAGCTTTGATGACATCTCATTAAGTTTAATGCAAGCCATAGGAATTTACAGAGCTGAGTTCTCATTTTAGGCTATCTGCAAATTTAATGAAGACATCTATATTTTGAAGAGGTTTGTTTGCTATGGGAGTGGCTAGATGTAATTTATTTTTTTCCTTTCCCAAGCTGACTGTTCAGAAACTGTGGCCTTAAATAGGTTGACTGGACTGGTTTATTGACATCCCTGTTACAAGGCTTTGCCTTGTGTGTACCGTCTTGGTTGTTAATAATTACTGCTTTGAGTGACAAAGCTATGTTTGAAGTCCATTTTGTCTTAATTTAACAGCGGTCAGAGGTGGAAAGGTCTGCTTACTAGCTTTAAGAGAAGCACAAAGTTGTACCAGGAATTAGATCAAGGCTCAATATTGGATTATTCCTTCCTCACAACCGATTAGGTTATACCAGCAATCCTGAGCAAGAAGGCTTGCATAGTCATAAGCCTTGCTTGTATTTTATCTTGCTACCAGTTCTGAGTTCAGAACAGCATTACCCGTTGCAAAATTGGAAGAGCGGGGTCTTCTGCTCCTTTGCATCATTCTGAAGGAATTTAATAGCAAGTACTCAACTTGTTTTATACTTTAGTGAAGGAATTTTCCACTTGAAATGCTTTAGGTTGTGAATAGTCTCGTGTTCCTGAGCATGGCTGGGTATGCTGGTCTAGTTCCTACTGTATAGTTTTGAATAGTGTGCAGAAAAAGCAAGTTCAGGCTTTCTGTTTGTTTGTTTTACAGCAACTTGAGCCATAATACCCAAAGACAGGTCTTTAACACTGAAATGAGAACACAACACAGGAAAAAGAAATTATTGTGAAATGAATGATGTGCATTTGAATCATGAAAAACCAGCATTAATGTCACTTATCTCAAAAGAGAAGCTGAGTGACTGGCATCTAATTCTTGTTAAGTTTATTTGGCAACAGCAGGAGGTTTTAAATAGTACAGAATAGTATTTGTGTGAGTGTGGTGTGATCTAGGCACAGGAAGAAATGTAAAGAAACTACCGTAAAAAGAGTGGACTTTGACTATGTTACTGTACCTCTCAGAACACGAAGTCATACATTCAATATTAAAAAAAAAAAATATGTTTCTGACCTGTTGGTAGCGATCTGTCATGAGCATCTGTTGGTTTTCAGTTGCTGTGGTAGCTACCACAGAAGCGTTAATGACCACGGAGAATTTCCAGTTTGGCACGTTACAGAGGAGGTCTCTGCTCTATTCTTTCTTCCCGATTCAGATGCAGACTTGGGGCGCTGTCTTGCAGCAGATGGGCTCTATCTTTATACAACCAATTCAGTGGGCAGAGGAATAAGCAAATTAGGATCTGGATTACATGGTACTTTGCGGTAAGTGACAGTTGAATATTTGCTATTCTGCAGATCTGTTGTGTTTTTGGTTTTGTTTTTTTTTTTAAATATTTATCGTCTCGGTAAAGCTCTCTCAGATGTTAGGTGCAACAAGATTAGATCATATTATGCATTTTCATTAAATGCTATTTTACTGGTTTTCTCATCTGAAATTCTTACTGAGTATATTTTCTCTAGATCTGTAGAATAATTGAGGTTGAAAGGGACCTCTGGAGGTCATCCAGTCCAACCTCCTGCAAAGAGGTATACTAGCAGAGTAGCTGGTATTTTAAATGTTATTTAATTTTTTTAATGTATAGTAAGTCGGTTTATTTTTTGCTGCGAGGGATATACTGCAGACTAATTCTATGACCTTTTTATTCGTGGTTGTACAGCTGCTGAATTTCTAAGTATTTGTTTTCTAATTATATCATTCATTATATAAATGATTAGTATGGAGGTGACTCACTTTACCTTCTTGCTTCCTTATTGCTTGGAAATCATGAGGCTTCTCATGCCTTAGGTCTTTTACAGTAGAAATCGCTGCCTTAGGCTGACATGAATTTATGTTCAAAGTTCAAGAATGTGCTTACGAGTTGTTTGTAGAAAAACAAAAGAATATCACAGGGTTTTAAAGCGTTTTAATATACTGCTCTTTTTTTACCAGAGGTTTTGTGTACTGCCGTAATGAGGAGCTGGAGACCGGGTGGGTTGCTTTTGGCAACAGCAAACTTCTCCATCGGCCCGTCTCTTTTGATAATAAACCTCACTCCCTTTTCCAGGTCGTGGATCAGCATACCCTTCAGGTAAATGGAACTGTTCATTGCAGAGTTGTAGTAGAATAAGATGTTCCTAATCACAATCATGTCTAGCTTTCATTAGTTTTGTCCTTAAAGTTTCTTTTTTTTTTTTTTTTTACCTTGTGAAACTGCCTTTTTATAACCCCCCACTGAAAGCATTGCATGATAGAACTTGTAAGTTATGTGGCAGAGATTACTGTTTCCATGTGCTAGAGCATATATATGTGCATGTATATGTGTGTATATACATACATGTGTATGCACATACAGACTTAGACTATATTATATTATGATAGTGTTGCAAGAGCTAGAATATAGCACGGTCACATCATCAAACAATCAAAACAATAGCAAAACGGACTCAAACTGAAAGCGTAACCTTCCCGAACAGCTCATCATCGTTTTAATGTAACAAAATTCAGGGTTTTTTTCTGACCTAATTGTGTTTTGTAGATCAATAACTGTCATCCTTTGTAAAAACGGATAGTTTGTTTACGTTGAGTTTTCTCCTGCTGTGGTTTTAAGGATGGATATGCACATTTATGTCCAGTGTCTGTCCTGAAACTGAGAATGTTTCTGCTTTTCTTCCAAAGCTTTGAATAATGTTTTGGAGAAGTTGCAGAAAGCAGATAACTCTTTAGCATGTATACTTTCCTTTAGGTACTGTGGGTATGCTCTCAGTCATTAGAGAGGAGATGATCCTTTTATTTTTAGGTATGTTAAATGTTTAGATATATAAGCCGTGTTGTATGCGGTAGATCCATTTGACAAACATTACAGAATACCTCTTTGTAACAAATAAGTGTAATAAACCTCTTCTGGACTAACTGCGCTTGATCTTAATTTATTTAAATACACTGTTAATATTCATAAGAACAGACTTCAAAATAAGAACTGTTAAGATCCTCTCCTTCTTGTAGGTATGTCAGATAATCCCAATGCCAGTAAATCACTTCCCAGTTGGCAGTACTATGACTACCGTGCATCTTTCTTCAGATGGTACATATTTCTACTGGATTTGGTCTCCTGCAAGTCTCAATGAAAAAACACCAAAAGGCCACTCTGTCTTTATGGATATTTTTGAACTTATAGTAAGCAAATTATGTGTTTTCTATGTCTTCGTAGCTGGTGACATGACTACTGCTTAATTAAGTGTCAGTGTTTTCAAATCAACGTGTCGGGTTTGAATATTGATAATGTGTAATCTGAATAGCTGTTTGTAACGTGTTTATGAAATAACTTTGAACCGAACAGAAGGCATGATGTTTAGCTCTGTCTTCAGAGGACGTACGACCATCGTACTCCAGCAGTATGAATTGTCTTGTAACATAAAATGTTTTATTATAATTAGCAGTTAAGTTTTGTGCTGGGACAGTAATTCAGTGTATTAGGATTTAAAACGTTGTTTACTGTGGATCTGCCTCATTGTGTTAAAAGCCAATCACATTCAATTGGAGGCTTTTTTTTTTTTTTTTTTTTTTTTTTTTTTTTACATCGTATGACTACCATTGGTTTTAGTGTAAAACCAAATGCATTCAAAATATTAAGTCTAGAGACATGTATCAGTAGTTTGAACTCCTTTCTATCTCAGTGGCTTACATATGTGTATGTTTACATATGTATATATGCTTGCATTTGTGTATGTGTGTGTACTTCGGTGAAGCATCTCAGCCTAAAATGTTATTAATTTATACAGCAGAGCTTACAGCAATTCATAGACCTCTAATATTGATAGTTGAAATTGTACGAGGATTGAGCTTTGCTGGAGTATTTTGGGCGCAGTGTCTGTGTATCTGCTCAGCTAGAAGTGGTAGGCTATAGTAGTACAACTTGTGGAAAATGCCTAAAGCTCTAAATCAGATCTTATCTTCATTAAGAGATGCGTTCTTCAGTAACACGTCCTCTGAAGATTATGGTCTAAGAAAATCATTGCTTATGCTTTTTGGCTGGCAAATGATTTAAAGGCCTCTTTTTACAAAACTTGCCAGTGAAACATCATTAAGAATACAGGGAAGTTAAATATTTTTAAGGAGACTTCCATAAATAAATTTAAAATTATGACAAGCAGCTCTGACTTTGAGGACAGACAAAATAGAAGATACTATATTGAACCACGGAGTTGCAAACAAAACAAATACTCATCTGTCTAGCTTTTATAACACTTTTTTGGTAAGAAATTCTGCCAGCAGGGTTTAAGTTTGTATCTCTACTTGATATATCGTGGTGTTCAATTTTAGTGTAAGTTAAGGTAATCTTGTCTCCTACAGATTTTAATACCTAAAAATGTTTTTTTTTTCTCCATTTTGATAGGTAGAAAATGGTGTATGTATAGCAAATCCTCTACAGGAACGAATTATATTAATGAGAAAAGAGGGTGAATCTGCAAAGAGTATAAATGAGATGCTCCTGAGTAGGCTGTCTAGGTACAGAGCCTCCCCGTCAGCAACACTGGCTGCTCTCACTGGCTCTACAATCTCCAACACGTTGAAAGAGGACCAAGCAGGTCAGAAGAGGTTTTACTGACTTTCAGTAATTTTTCACCGTTTATTTCTTAACACATACAGTATCAGTTCTAGTAATTACTAATCTCTTAGGACATATTAAAAAAAAAAAAAAAAAAAGTCCATTTTCTTTTTCCAAAATAAGTGTTTGAGGTTTATGTGCAGTATTTGCTTAATGCTTGAATAACGAGTTCCTTTGCTAAATTAGGCATTGATTGTGAGAAGAGTTTAAGAATGAAAACCGGGAAGGATATTTGTGGCACCCTTTTTTTCTCCATGTATTCAATTACAGGACTGGTTTATGCTGTATAATAACTATATTACACTTATAATTATCTAATATTATAAATTGGAGGTAGTTTTGCTTTTTTGAGGTCATTTGTGCAATGTTTGGGTATTCTTTTATGGGCTTGCTGAAACTACCCAAGTTAACTAGGGAATCTTGAATGAACAGCATTGATGGCTTTCAGGATGATCTGGAGCTTTGTAAGATTTGTCTTAAGATTTTGTTCTGTTTTTATCCCAATTACTTCTCTTCTTCCTTCATGTGCACACGCATTTGCTTTCTTCAGTGTTAAACAATTAAAGGTATTTCCATAAAAATAAATTATACAGGGAATTGATATGTTTACGGGGAAGCTGGCAAAGAGTTAGCTCGAAGAGCTATTTTAAAGGCTGTATTTTGCCAGTTAACAACTAGAGTGCTACAGAAGAAGAAGAAGAAGAAGGAGTGGTTATTCTTGGATAATTCTTTAGTCAGTGCTCAGAAAAGTGTTGATCAGCTGTGCAGGAGCTAGATCATTATGACTATACGTTTCATGTGGAGCAGGAGAACTTAAAATAGTAAATGCGTAGTGAATCTCAAATGATCTCTTCATGTTAAAAGATTTTTTGGCTCTAAGATAACTGCTTTCAATATGTTTATCATCATACAATTCTCAAAACAGTTTTGTTTGTACTTAAAGATTTAAGCTGCTAATTTTCCTGCTTTGACAATTAGAGATTGATGTCTTTCCCCCCCCCTTAAATTTTTCTCTTTAGTTAAATAACCTGTGAAACTCTATGCTGCTGGGTATTGGTGCTGAACTTGTGGAATTGAGGCCACCCCTACGTACAACTTCTTAATGCAGCTGCAAAATGTAGCTTAAATGAATTTCCATATTGATTTATTTGAAGCCCTAAATAAAAATCGGCCTTGTTTGCGACCTGTGACTATGAGTTTTTAATGTTACGAAGAAACACATGTTTGTGTTCTGTTTTTCTGTTTAATATTTCAGCTGCAAACACCAGCTGTGGGCTGCCACTGAAAATGTTACGGAAGACTCCTATATACACGTGTGGAACGTACTTGGTGATGTTGGTCCCACCCCCGGGTGGATCGGGCAGTTCTGCAACACGCTCCCTCTTTGGAGGAACAAGTGCTTTGTCATCTTTAAAAAGTAAGTCAGATAAGTTTGGGGCAGATTTGAAGTTCTTCGTTTTTGGAAATACAAAAAACTTTATTGGAGATTTTTTTTTTTCTATGTAGTCCTTGCTTCAAGCTTGGTGTTCAATATTTCGGATGGACAGTTCACAAGCCGAGCAGATCTCATCGATGCTGCAGGAAGTTCACTTGGACGTGGTGCTCTAGTTCCAGGGCTTGGTAAGAATTAGATTTCTTTTCTGGGAATATTACAGAAGTCAACATACCCAACCCTTAGATTCTAAATAGTCTATCTGGATTTTAATTTGCGGTGAGCAACTCTGCAGCTGGTGGAGTTTCATGTCTATGGTGAAATTTTGTAAATTTAACACTTTGGGAAGTTTCAAATTCCCTGATGGAATTTCCAGTATCTTGCTTTGGCAGTTTCAGCTGCACACAAGCTCAGGCAAAGTGTTTTATGTAGCAGAAAAGAATCTTGAAAGAAGTCTGGTTTTTATACCCTGCTTATGCTTTAAGGTGCTACAAAGTTCTGAGTGTCTTATCTCTATATTTGAAAATCCATAACTGTATCTTAGCTGGAAGGATGTAGGTATTTCTGATTTCCATATCGCTTTGACTGAAACATCATGAGTGTTTTCTTCAGGACTATTTTTTTTTTTTAACCTGCTTGGTATAAGGAAATAATCTTCTGAACAGTGTCCATGCTACTTAAACACTGTGTATCATTGCTAGCATTTTAATAAGCAGTGGTTTTGTGGCCTAAGAAAGAATGTATTTCTTTAAAAAGTTTGAGATAAATAGTTTTAAGTAATATTCTAGGACGCTTGGATAGGTATAACTGTATATTAACCTGTTAGCTTGACTAGAGATTTATCTCAGTCATTTGACACATGTGGACAAACAGGTTATTTTTGAACCTTTCAGGTATGGTAAAGGCCTCTATTGTACAACAGTTGTGTCTCTAATCCACTCATCTCTTCCCTTTTATTGTTTTGGACCTGCCTGTGTTTGTAGTCTTTAAGCTTTTTAGGAGATGAGTCTAATAAATTTTTTTTACAGTTGCACCATGCAAACTGTCACTTTTAATAAAGCTATTATGTTTTTACCACAAGGCCTTTCATACAAATTCTAAGGTTCTTAATTTATTTAAAGCTATTGACATTTTGGAACCTTTTCTCCTCTACTTTTTTCTATAAAAGTTAGAAAGTTAGAAGTTATCTGATGCCAGACTCAACTGTTTCTAGTTGATGCGCTGTGGCAGCGTTGTGAAGGAATGATATATGTTATATACTTAGAAATAATGAGCACTGGAGTATTTACCTGAAACAGATGCTGTTCTACATTTACCTTAAACATCAAAAGGGATGTGCATTGGCTTATTTCCGTTGTTGAGAAATCTCCCGTTCCCATGCGTGGTTACTAAGTTGCTGTCACGGGACAGAACTTTCCAAGCAAATAACTTGGATTTATACCTGCTATAAAAATATTTCAGTCTGGTTTTCTAACAAATATTCTGAAATTGGATGTGCGAAATAATTTTCTTCTCTTAGGTGCCTGTTATGATACCATGAATAACATGATATGGACGTGCTCTAATGATTATATTGATCAGTGGTGTAATCCTGGGAACCAGGCGTTCCATTGTGTCTGTCAGAGACTGGGAGTGAGCCATGTGATTACAGAGCCCAAAGGTGAGGTGAACCTACAAGTCAGCGTTTTATCCAAAGCAGGAGTGAAATCTATGGTTACCACATAATAAATATACAGAAACTACCTTCTGAAGCTTTCTGTTAAAAGTTGCCTTCATTCTTGAAAAACTATTTCTAAATATTGGTCATGGTTTAGCTTTGCTTTAAGAAAGGAAAAAGCAAAAAAGCAAGACGTGTTTGGAAGTTTCCAGATTCTTGCTACCTTTAGCACATTAAGTGATGTGGGTAATTCTTTTGTTTATCATGTGGGCGGGTGTCCTGAAGTTAGAGACGATGATGACGTGCTGCGTTTCAGAAGCAAATCCTGATGCTGTAGTCTGTGTTTGCAGCCAGCGTTTGAACTGCTTTTCTTCTAGGGGATGCAACGACCACAAATGAGGTTATTAACCAGTTACTGCACCATGTTGGTGCCATGTGTATCCACCAACTCAACCTGCTTGCAGCCAGCAACAATCTTCCCATAACAAATTTTTTGGGCAAGCAACATCCAATTGAAGCACATCATCTCAGCAGTATTTGTGACATTATGGAAAAAGCTATGGTGAATGGAGATACTTGTATAATACGCTGCATCCTTGTTGTCTTTCAGGTACAAGGGCATCTTAAATGTACTTCACAATAAACGCTAACAGAAAAGTTGCTTTAGAATACAGGCAAACGCTTGATTTTATTAGGGTTTGGGTTTTTTTTTTCTTCATTGCATTCAATTTAATGGAGATTGACTTAGCAGTGGCTTTGCAGTATCTTACACACCCATTTAAGTATCCCACTATAAATGTAATTGCCACCTTTACACACTAAAATAAAATCCAGAGAGGTTACTTCCTTATTTCTTTGGGTTTTTTCTTTTTTTTTTTTTTTTTTTTGATACAAAGTCAGTTTCTGACTCTCAGATTTCTAGTGACCTAGACAAATAGTTTGAGAAACTGCTGAAGAAGAGTTAACGTGGACAGTGTTCAAGTCTTTAATATTGTTGTGTTTAATTTTTCTTAGGTGGTTTTTAAATTCTTCTTCAGCCCGCAAACCGAAAGAAACAGAGATATTGTTAGAAGGTCTGGCCTGTTACTTTGGCAGTTACTGATGGCACCAAGGGATCAGATTTGCTCTGAAATCCAGAAGGAGGTTTGCTTGGCTATTAGGTAAATTTTTGTCAAATTAAACCTAATTTAGATTTTGGATTACTTGAAAATGTTGTAACAGATGGAACAGTCAAATTGGATTCAGCAGTTTAATTTAAAACTAATTTGATAAAATTTAGGTTGACATTGTATTTATATCTGCGGAAGAAAGGAAACGCAATGTGTTTGTCATGATGACAGTGAAATAACAGGTAGTAATTACTTTCTATACTTTTTGTTGGTTTTTATTGGCTTTATTTGGCTTTTTAAAAAATATTTGATATAATACAGCTGCTAAATTCAAACGGAGTTTTCTGCATCTCAGTGAAGGCTGGAATGATTTCAGTATTTAGCTTATATAGTTTATTGGTGTTCTGGAATAGACAAAGCTAATGTCAGCTGTTACACCAGTGTTTCAAGTGACAATACTGAAATTCTCCTAAACAAAGGGAATGTGAGAGGAAGCAGAATGAATAATACTTGAGGAATGCTGTAATATCAAAGGCCCAGAGGAAAACACGGACAGGGTAGTAAGGCTGTCTTAAAGTCAGGTTTATGTTTAGAAAACAGGAATCTATTTTGGTAGAAGGGGGGGCATTATGCCTCTGGGCTGGTACACCAGGTCATCAAACACTTAAGCATGATGGTTGCTTTAGCTCCACATCATATTAGCTACTGTGTCTCTTGAACCTGATGCTGTGCAATTTCCTCTCTCCGGCTTGTCAAAATTAGCAGAATGACTAAGTACAGGGTAGTGAGCAAAAAGTGTGATTGTGTATCACGAAAACAAGATAATGTAAATCTCAAGGACGAGGAATGCTGTCTCAAACGTCCTAAGTACAAATATAATCTGCTTTCAAGTGGGAAGTGCTCCAAAGGTTGAGAACAAAATCTTCTGAAGATCAACCTGCATTTTTTGTGTGTGAATCATGACATTCCAAATTTCAGTGGCTTTATGCAACTCTGAGTGAATAAAAAAGAGTATATCTTTAGTATGACTAGTTAGCATTTTCAGGGCCTTACTTTTTGACTTTTTGAGGAAAAAGTGTATCCCATCAGCTGTATGGACAGCTCCTGCGTTTTTCCCTTGTTTAACCCTGTATCCTCCAATGACTTGTAAAAAAAAAAAAAAACCCAAAACAAAAAACAAAGAACACAGAGGTGGGGTTTAGGTAATATCTGCTTCCTCCTGTTTTCTCACTGGGGGATTCTGATAGCAATGGAAACCTCAAACTTTTCCTGATGTTTATATCACAAGTTGGTCAGCATGAGCCAGAGGGAAGGAAGCTGTAATAATCTCTCAGTGTGAAGCTGATAAAGATACTGGTTTTCTTATCTACGAGAGTGTTATTTAAAAACAAACAGGAAAAAGAAAAGAAGAAAAAGTCTGCATAATAGTGTCAACACTTAAGACAGTCACACAGTACTCATTTGAAGTTACTGTGATCTTCTGTCTTGATGTGGTAATTCCTGTAGAAAGGACAAAGTTCATCACAAGTCTACCTACAGAGTCCCCCCTCTACGGGGAGAAATATCTCCAGAAGGAGCATTTATGCACAGCTGTGTTGTTCCCGAAGCACTAGCTCTAGAATCTTCTGCTTTGCTTAAACCAAGACTTCTATAACGAGCCAGTCTTTAAATATAAAACTGTAACAGTAGTGACTTCTTGATTACTGTCTCTTGCTTTTTCCATTGTTCTTGTCACAGATAAGCTACAGCTCTTACCCTCTACCAGAGTTGTCTGAATCATTCTCTAAGCCGTCATCCATTTTTTTTTTTCTCACATCTGTCTGTTTCTTGAAAATATGATTGTGCTGTCGTATATACAAATCGACATGGAGTTGCTCAGAAGGAAGCAAATAACTCCTGAAAGCAGCTTTGGGACCTAAACTATAAAATATAGTTGGTTACAAGAGAGTTTTGGAGAAAGCAACTGCTTACTCTATGGCTAATATAAATGTTAAAATATAGAGGCTGCCTTTCTAAGTTGGGAGAAGCTATTACGTAGTCATTCTAAATGTTACGTTGGATGCTAAGCTGAGATTCCGTGGTGCCATTTTTCACAGGTGCATCGAAATTATTTTTTTTCACTTCTGAATACGTTAAGTAATACGTGGTTTTATTTTTTTTTCTTTAGCTCTGGTTTAAATATCCTGTATCCTGGAGAAGCGGAAATCAATAATTTATTGAAATTGGTCTTAACTGAAGGTGAGAATGTCTTATTACATGTGAGAGTGTGGTTTTTTTCTAATTGAAAACAAAAAGTGAAAAGACATTTCAACCTCTGGAGGGAGAACAGCTCTGAATATTGAGTACTAGTCCTGTTAGGAAGTTACGGAATGCTTCAGATTCTGCCTTCTGAAGGGCTCCATGGCCAAACGTATGTTAGGTGTAGAAAAGGAAAATTTGTCTCAATCCGACAGCTGTTTGAAAATGATTAAAGTTCTCTTTAGTCGCTACTAGTAATGTTTCTTGTCCAGGTTGTCTTTTAGAACACCTAGCTAGCAGTTAGTGCTACCCACGGCAATTACACTAAGAGAGGTAACTTTAGTCCTTAGTGAAACAGGAATAATCTACCTGCATTCACCATGAAATGGGAGTCTGGAATTAGAAGCAGCTGATGTGCAGCAATTTATTACTCCATAGGAACATGTTCATGTGTCGGAGTCTTTGGAATTTAATATAGTGCTATGTGCAGAGTAAGTTTTAACAGTCTGTAATATCAACAGGGAATTGAGTTGCACTGTAAATACAGTAATTTCTGAGAAGTTGCATATATTAAGCAAGATATCTGAGGAAATAAAAAGAAATAAATTCTGTAAAATGCTGTTTTGCAAAAGTTTTCTGCATTCCATTTTAGGAGAGAGAAATAGCGGCCTCTCTCAACTTCGCGACGTTATCCTGACTAATTTAGCTGAACAGCTTCAGAACAACAGATTTGGAAGCGAAGACGACGATCATTATAGGTAAAATGCAACAATATGCTTCCCCTCCTCCCCATTTATAATGTACCTTTCTGTGATTTGCTTTAGGTAAACTTGCATAAAATTCTGCTGAAATTGTTTGTTATCTCACTGGCTGTGTGACCTGAAATACCATCTTTGTGTCTGTCGGGGAAACTTTAGAGAGTTTTGCACACAGACTTAGTTTTGAATTCCCTGCTACTTGCCACGTATATGGGTAAATGTGGATGATAATTCCTAAGTGTGATGGGACGCTGCTGTCCCCATCACTAGGTTAGGTGACTGTTCAGCGGTAAAACTGTCAGTCTCTAGTACCTGTTCGAGTTGGGAGGAATGTTTTTGTAGGAGCCATTAGAAGTCATAGATTTCTATCAGTCCAGTGCAGGAAATCACTGGCAATCTGTTGCATTGATTGTTGTTAAACACTTCAGGCTTGGTTTTCTTTGTGTCAGAATCTTTGAAGTTGAACGGATGTTTGTTTGGATTTCACATAATTTATGATACAGCTTGCAGTGACTTTTGAGCTGAGCTGTACAAAACACACCATCATTAGACTGTTAACATTTTACATCTTCCCTGCATTTTTTGAAGGCTGAATGATGAGCTGTTGCACTACATTCTCAAGATTGTTGTCCGAGAATCTTGTGTCTTAATCACCAAGTGCCAAACTGTATCTAAAGATGATTTTCAAAGGCTTCTTTCAACTGTGCCTGTAAGTAAAATGTATTTTGATAAAGTATATTTGCCTTTGGCTTCTTTTCATCCTTAAATCTATTGTCTTCGCTGAGTATATAGAGGTGAAACTGCTGTGGTTGTGTGTCAGCAAATAGGGAGAGAATATCTTTTGTTTATGCTGCGCAGGGAAGGAATATATTACTATAACGTTACACAGCTGAGTAAAATGGTACTGCTTCATGTGTTTTCTAAGTTGTTTCACAAAATTCAGTGTTTTGCAACCAGTTCCTTCTCTTAAGCATGTATTAACAAACTTGTGTTAAATCAGCAAAAAAAAATTTTTGTTCTGGGGGAATTATTTTTTGATTTTTGCTTGTCCTCTCCCTCAACTTTTTTTTCTTCTTCTATATTTCAAAGTACAAGGATTGCCTGAATCAAAGTTGATGAAAGGCTTTTGATAATGTGAAGTGTACTTATTTATGTTAAAGGCTGCATCTTCGTGTTTGCGGTATCTGATGGCCGTACAGAACCACCTCCTCAGTAACACTATTTTGATTAAACCTGATGAAAATGATGACAGTGACAGCTCCTTGCAGGGAGAGACATTGAAGGTACAGGTAAACACCGAGTTTTATTCTAGTATGGCTCTCTACAGTCAGTGTTCCCGTGACACCTCTTGTTTCTGCAGTGCATTCTACTTACGCTGTTTTGTCGGTTCTTTTTTCTCTTGGTATAGTTAAATGACTGTAGACAGTTTTTTCTTGTTCTGCAGCTGAAGTCTACAATTGTTCTGTGTTCAGTATTCCAGCTTGGGTTCTGTGTTGTCAGTGAGAGCAGACACTTGACTTTCTAAATATAGTATAAGGAGGTTTAAAATGTATTTTAATTCATATGTGCTAGTAAGAAAAATCATGGGCCAGGAATCTTTTCTGGACACATAACCCCACCACCTTGCCTTCTCCAAATCACTTAGGTGGTCCTTGAAAAAAGGTGTTTCAGATTTAAATAAGAAAGGGTTTTCTCATTTGCCTCACCTGGCTTCTGCCTTTTTGCAGTTTTAACTTACAAATCTCATGTCGAACCACCTACGTGTGTTCTCTGAAAACGCGTGAATCATGTTTGTAGCAAGGAAACTGTTAAGAGGAGAGGGTCTGTGGACAGTGGTTGTTTTGTTGGTATAAGGTTTATTAAAATGGTGTCATTTCATATTACTGCTGGAATAGTCATGAATGAACTCATAGAAGCCAGACTTGTCCTAGTGTGCAGGCTGTCTTGTCCTAGCACTTTTTATAACAGTAACAATTTTTTTCTATAATGGTATGGACTTCTGAATTTCTGGTATTGTTTGTTAAGCTGGCTTTATCTGCTGCTCTTTGAGACTTTGTGTGCTTGTAATTTGCTGCAGTTGAAAGTTATTTGTTCAGGCTTATTGAATAAATGCTAAAATATCATAGTACTTTTCTTGTCTCGGTATTCACCCATGTTTTCATTGTTCAGTTTCTCTCTCTACAGTGATCCTCATACCTGCTAGGACATTCTGTCACCAATGCTGTACCTTGGCTGGCTGACAGCTCTCTCTCCTGTGCTGGACTTGGGGATTCCTTCCCTCTAGAAACTGGATGTGCATCCTGTAAAATATGCACCTAGTTTCTCCCAGCACTTTGGGCTTAGCATTAATCAAATTTAAGTCTTGGATGAATCTACTGCTGCAGGCCTGCCAGGTCACATTATCATTATTTTAATTTGGAAATCCATCGTTTTGTTCTGTTGTCCTTTTTTATATTCTCTAAGAATTTAAGTATCCTATAACTCTTTTTGTACCTAGGAGCTAAAGGCCAGCATTTTGTCTCTCGCTACACAAATTCTGACAGGATGTGATGAAGTCTTAGAAATGCTGCAACAAGTCACTACAGCGCTAATTAACAGTGACATTTCTGATAGAGAGCAAAGGTAAGACAAGTATGAGTATGCTAACTTGAAAAGAGCAAACTTGCTTTTTTGTGGCATATTGTACGAGCACAGTATTACTTTAGAACTTCATACTTGAGCTTTGAATGTATGGGAACTGTTTCTTACTATAGCATTTGTTTAGCACTTAACTTTTGAAGAATTTCAACTCAGACTCTCCGTGTTAGTACTACTAGCTTGATAATCTACAGAAACTTCAAATTGGTAAGGTTTTAGTCCATTGCAGAGGTATTTGTGAGCAGGGTAATTGGAAACAAACTGTGGTTACGCCTGGGAGTATTCCTGTAAACTGGGGCAATTTAAAAAAAAAAATTTTATATTTCTGACTATTCCATCACTAGTAGCTGGATGACATGTTTTATTCCTGACAAGTCCTGGGTGTTGTTATGATCTCCTTCATCAGATTGTGTCACCTTGCCCTTCCCTCTTCCACTTAAAAATACATGTTGGGAATGGGACACGAACAAAAAGCTGTGAACCTTTTCTCTCACCAAACACACACCTTCCTCTCCAACTTGCATTTCAGGTTTCAGTTTCTGTGCTTTTCACTGCCTGCAAGATTAGTTTGGGTTTTTGACAATACACAATTCCTTTGAGATGTTTTCAGATAGGTTTCATGCTCAAATGGATTTTTGTAGATACAGATTCTTTTAAAGTACTTTGAGCTAAGTGTGCTAGGAGCCTGATGTACCTACTGAACAAAGACATTTGTGTTTGATGTGGACTTTAATCCCCTGCCCATGGGAGCTTATAATTTTCTAAGTAATTATTAAACTCTTGCTTTACTGTCTGCTGGTCTATCATTGTTTAGTAACAATTGATAGCAAAGACTAGGATGCTAACACTTTGGAGAAATTGTAATGTTTTCAAAATACTAAGTTTTTTGGGTTTTTTTTTTTAGTATAATGTAAATGTTCTCTGCTAGATCTTGAATTGCCTGCTTATGCAGTCTGTTACAAGATAAAACAGATGACTTATAGTAGTGATACTCTCTGAAACCTTGACTCTCCTTACAGATTAAAAGGCCTGGAGCAAATTACAAAGGCTACTATGCTTGGTCACCTGCTTCCTGTCCTGTTGACATCTCTGATGCACCCAAATTTGCAAACTCTAACTATGGCTGATGCCTTGATGCCTCAGCTGGTGCAGCTGGTTCTTTACACGAGTCAGGTATGGTCTTTGTGTCAGCAGTTGCCTACAAAGGAAGAAAGATGTTGCATGCAAGCATTGCTCGACAGCTGTAACAGCTGATAACGCTGAACATTAAATTTGACTTGGTACAACAGTAATGATTTATTGTCGTTAACAACATACAGTGTGATTGTTAAGATATTTCAGTGAAAAGATCTTAAAATGATTTACAGTTTGCCTGCTTCTAACACTCTGTATTTTGTGCCACAGACTGCACTGCTGCTTAAAACTCAGTCTCCAGTTTTCTCAGAGCTAAACAGTTCCCCCAGTGGTGCATCAGATCAGAAAGGGAAGCTGTTACCTGATGAGAGGTGATTTTTCTTTACGTTTGGGTCTTTTCATGGGGTAAAATCGTAGCTGTAATGTTCATTTGACTGTTGCTGTGTGATGAATCTTAAAGCAGCAATTTTTAAATTTTTTTTTAAGGCAAAGCTGGTTTTTACAGCTATATATGCCTTACAAAAGGCAATTAGTTCTATATTTTTTTGCATATAGAATTAAATTAGTAATTTCTTCAGGTTGTTTGCACAGAGTATGGTTTGTTTTGTTTTTCCCCTTGCCTCAAGCATTAGAAATTAATTCTAAATGTTCCTCTTACAATAAATTAGGCTAAGGAAGGCCATCATGAGAAAATGTAAATTGCTCTGGCAGCATGAGATACAGTATTAAAACCATTGGAAAGATATTAAATGGTTTCATTTACATAGAGAAATATGATGGGTTTAAGTTCTGCATTTAAATCCTGTGTCTCAGCTTAAAATTATACAGCTTCTGCTTGGAAACAGAAACATGCAGCTAAATTAAATAAAAAATGCTGTCGTAGCTATTTTGCAGCGTTCCAGGATTTGTAGTATTGAACGACTTGTGATAATACGCTGTGTGAACACTGAAGAATTTATTTTAAATCCTCTGAATTCTACACTTGAGTGAAATATTAGGCGTATTGTTTTATGACGGCGTAATCAGTTTTGGGTGCTGTCGCAGAAGGGAAGGTGGTGTTTTTGGTTGGTTTTTTTTTTAATGCTACCAGTCGTGTGTTAGAATCCATGTATCGTACCATTTACTCTTTTATGGTGCTACTTAGCTGGTTTATCATAATTTGGAAATTGGAAAGCATGGGGAAAAGCTCAGATTTTCCAGGTCAGAGATTGGCATAGTTATTTCTAACGTACAGAGTTCACGCTATTTAAGTTCTGTGTGTTCCCTCAATACAGTTACGCCTAAAATGAGGAGTCAGTGCTTTGTGTCGCTGTGTATCAATATTGAGAGGTGATTTGAAGTACTTTATATTCAAACATCAAGCTGTTAGGTCTGCGTGTTGAATTTTGGGACTAAGTTTTCACTCTAATTACAGAATGTTGGAAGAGAAAGAAGAACCAGGTTTTCTTACGGGTTTGAAGATCCCTGCTCCCTGGGCTGCTGGGAAGACTGTAGAAACAGTTCATCCCGTCAGGGATAACTATAAATTTAAAGAAACTGTACATATTCCAGGAGCCCGCTGTTTATATCTTAGATTTGACAACAGATGTTCTTCACAATATGATTACGATAAGGTAAGCAAGGGCCAGTTCAGAAATTCTTTTCTTTTGTGTATATTTTCGTCAGCAGCAGTTCCCGTTTTCATCTTTTCTGTCCCTTGTCTTTCATGGCACCTTATTTCCAGTGCTCAGGATCATGCAGGAGGTTTTTACTGATAGGAGCTTATTAGTGTGCACTGTAACATCAGTCTTAATTACTTCAAGGCTGTAAAGTCCTGGGGTGCAGAGGGGTAATTCCTTGTGTGGTACGAGCGTGAATAACTTATCCAAACAATTCTTGAGTTTCACCTTAAGACTAGATTAGCAAAATGATAGAAAACGTACAAAGAGTTGTTGACATGAAAAGTCAGGAAGATAAATGGTTTGTGTTTACTTTATATTATTCTTGAAGAAACAATCCAAAAAGAATATATGCTTAAATCTTCCTGTGTATTGCTTCAGAACGTAATATCTAGAGATTACTTCAGTATTTAAAACCTATCAGTTACAAGGATCTTTTGTTAAGAGTTAGGCTCTGTGATTAAGAAGCTTCCTGAAAAGATGTCAGAAGTAGTGGTACTTACAAAATAGAAGAAATATAATAGGCTCCACAGCTATGGGGTTTGGTGGGGGGAAGGCGGTTTGATTTTATTTATTTATTTTTTTTACCCCTCTTAAAAATTCATGCCAACTGTTACTTTTTTTTTTTAAAGTTCATTTCATGATGGCTCAGATTGTCAAAGTTTGACTTCCTTCTCATTTTTGCTGTTGTGTCCCTTATTTCTCAAATTTTAATCTAGCTGCCTCCTTTGTAGATCGGCCCAGTGTGTTTAAACTGGGCAGAACTGGAAAGGTTACTTTTTCCTTCCCTAACGATAAATGGCTTGTTTACATGGATTAATATGAACTCAATTTCAAGAACACAACTAATAGCACTTACTTTGTATAATCAAAAGAGCTACTTGTGCTGCTTACTAATTGTTGACATATATTATTTGCTATAGAGCAAGTCCTGTGATACTCACTCCTGATTATTATTTATAAGTGGTTTTAATATTAATGTCACCCATTACTGGTTAAACTCCTCTAGAAGACTCTGGGCCTCATCGTGTTCCCACAGAAGTCACTGACTAAATATTAACTTTGGGAGCAGGATCAATCCATTTATTAATAGAGAGGCATATAATATGCTCTAGTTAGCTCAGCACGAGGACTGGAAGTTAGGATTTCTCCTGATTTCTGCTCCCAGTTCTGCTGCTGACTTGCTGTGTGACCTCAGGGGCAAGTCACTCAATTTCCTCTCTGCCTCAGTTTCCCCATCTGTAAAATGGGGATAATAATACTTGCCTACTCACCTCACAGGGCTGTTGTGAGGATTTGTTAATGTTTATAAAGCGCTTTGAAAATATAAAGCGCGGTGTAAGTGCTAAGTATTATTATTATTATTAGATTTTCTTGTTTTTCTCTTACAGTCTAACAGTGTATTTTATGTTTTGAAGTTGGTGATCTATGCTGGTCCTAACACAAACAGTAGGAAGGTTGCTGAGTATGGAGGCAATACACTGGGATATGGCAGCCGTAGTGTCTTAGGAACTGGTTGGCCGAAAGACTTAGTAAAGGTACAGTATTATAATCCAACAATATTTCACCTAGAAAAATCCCCTTTGGAAACCATGTCAAGTCCATTTTAACCCTTATAGCGATGAAGTCCAAGCTCTTAAGTGTACGGTTTATCCATGATGAGATCACTTCTTAAGTGGGCTCTTATGTCCTTGGGGAATGACTTTAAACTCAACTGTATGTTGTGTGTGATGCTTCTCTCTTGAGCTTATCTTGTTTTGTTATGTCTTACTGGATTTCATTACTGGTGTGTTTCAGTCCTGGAGTCTCTAATGGCACTGCTGTTCTCATAAGTATATCTTCCTAGGAATAAATTCTTGCACAGTCTGAGGATGTGCATATTTTCTTAAGGTCCATGGGCATGACTGCATTTTTTTTTTTTTTTTTTTAACGGTAACCCACAAATATAACAAGTCGTAAGTGTAGCGACTCTCCAACCATTTGTTGGGTTTTAGAATAACATTTTGTCAGTAAAACTAAGACAGCAAAAGCCCTCAAACTTCTTGAAACCGCAATATTTCAAGAATTTTGCAGGATGTTCCCTCAGATTGGATGCAGTATGATATTTTTCTCATGTGTTTGTGCTGCTGCGTTGTCCCACGCTAAAATGGGACTAATATACGTAACAAAAAATAACTTAAAAACCTCCCCTCAAGGAGTAATAAACTGTCAAGCAATTTTAGACAAGCGCTCAGTTGTTCACAATTAATGGAATTTCGTTTATTTTTCAGACATAGATTTTTGTACTGCTCTTATAGCAAACCCTTCTATTAATGTGCTGACATTCTTCTCCTTGAAGAGCTTGTCTGTCTTCCTTCAGGAAGAGAACTGTTGGTTATTGCATGGTTTCTTGCAGATAAATAATGAAAGAGTTTTGATGAAAATCAAGGCCAAGTAACACAGACTGATAAATTGATTCTACAACTATGGTGGTATTCTTTGTTTTACTGTAGCTGGCCAGCAGCAAAATTCAAATCAAATTGTCCACTAGAAGTTATCCTTAGAAAAAGGGAAGGATCTTAAATCAGAGTATATAATCGGAGATAAAAATAATACTTAGATAACTGTCATTAAAAACATTAATCCATAAAATAAGCCACTTTTATGAAAAGCCTGTTTGTTTGCCTCAATTCTTAAATTTATCTTCTTTTTTTTTTTTTTTTTCCCCCCTCCCTCCTTCCCATGAAAATTTTAAGGTGGAAGGAGATACAGTCACCTTCTCCTTTGAAATGCGGAGTGGTCGTGAGCACAACACTCCAGACAAAGCTATGTGGGGCTTTGCTTGCACTGTTCGAGCACAGGTACTCAAACATGACAGATTCCATGGGATAGGCGCAGCTTCACTTTATCTGCTGTCTGTCACGCACTTCGGATCAAATAGAAATGTACTTTGAAGTTGGAAGTTAACGTTTGAAATTTAAAGCAGTAATAGCTTACTTATTTTGGCAATGACAAAGCATCCTTAGGAAAGGACCTAAGCTTTAGATATTTGGCTTCCTTAGCTAGAGATACCCTGGGGCATGGTCTGTAGCGTGCTTAGGGGGTTCTGAAGACGGTTGTTACCAAATATGCCTTTACCTGTCTCTTGTCATTGGCACTGGACTTGGATGAAGTCACTTTAATGTCTCTTGCTGCTTGTATTTCTTTGGAGAGACGGGTATCTTGTAACAACCTGGAAATCAGAGATTTAATGAGGGATTAATGCTCCCAGCTTATAAAGGAGAGAGGGGAGGGATGCTGGGATCAAGCAAAAGGAAACTTAAATCCCACTACTGGGAAGCCAGGACTAGGCCTGTGAGATGACAGATCTGCAGGCCAAAGAATGACTGAACCAAAAAATAACTTTATTTTTTCTTTTCTTTCTTGGTTCAGGAAAATAATGCTGAAATCCATTGTTCTTTGTCTTGAGTTGGTTTTATATATTGCTTTTAATGGTTAGGCGTTTTTTCAGTGTACCTCTGTGTAAGAGATGTATGATTGATATATATCTATATCTTTTATATGTAAGATTATATATAAAAATATAAAATCTCCTGTCTTGAAATATATCGAGGAAGGACTTCATGGTTGATTGATTAGTGCAACTTATCGCTATTCCTACTACAGGAGTCTTCAGAGGATGTGTCAGGAGGCTTGCCGTTCTTAGTTGACCTGGCCCTTGGCCTTTCTGTGTTAGCTTGTTCTATGCTGCGAATATTATACAATGGACCAGAAATTACCAAAGATGAAGAAACCTGCCAAGAGCTTTTAAGATCTAAACTATTACAAAGGTAAAAAAAAAGATAAAATAATTTCTCTGAGTTCCCATGTGGGGTTTTTTTTCTGAGGGAAGGTGATTTTTGTAGTTCTGCTCAAGTCTTGTGTTTGATGATGACGTTCTGAGAATTTTTCCTGCAGTTTGTTCAGCAGTTCTGTGTTGCCTAAAACTAAAGGAATATTCTCTAGAATAGAGATTTTCTTTAGAGTAAGTAGAGGAGGATTGGGCTGTGCTTGGTACAAGTCACACTTAGTATGTCTGTCTCTCTAAAATGCTGTTGACAAATGTGTCTTTCTGACTGAGGGGGGCGGGAGGGGAAGAGTTAGCAAGGTGAAACCCAGTATTTTTCATCTGTTTTCATTTATTTTTCCAGGTGCCAGTGGCAGGTGGAAGCTAATGGTGTAATATCTCCAGCCCTTACACCAAGTCCTTCTCCATTGCCTCTTACTATAGATGAAGATAGAGAATTTACATATCCCTCTGATGTTCTAGTGCCTCCCGTTGGACACTATTTTGATCTGCCTAGGATTAGGCTGCCTCCAGGAATCATGATAAAACTCAGGGAAATTTCTGGACGTGCTCGGCCTCAATTTAGACCTAGTATAAAGTAAGTAGTCATTGTTCTGCTCTATTTTTCTGACTGGACTTCTATTGTTCCAAATGTTTTTTGTGCCAGAGTGAGCTAAATAAAGCAATGGTGAGGAAGTGGCACGCCTGTCGTGTATGTTGGAATGCATTTAATGTTCTGTAAACACTTGGTGAATGAAGGATCTGATCAAGTTGTAAGTGTGAATTAAAGTTTGTTTGTTATTTGTACTTAATCGCTTTGGCTTTACCTATAACCCTAGGGAAGTGATTCAGCCAGAAGTGATGGAGGAGATGGTAGTTTCATGTGTGATTAAACATCTGAATTTGGTTGATGCGCTCCAGTCCCTGATAAATTTCCAGTATCAGGAAGAACATGCTGAAGAATATGATTTACTTTGTAAAATTATGGGAGAGACCTTTAAGAAGCTAAATGCCATGGAGAGACAATTACAGGTAAAAATAAAATGACATAAAAAGCAGAAGACTAATTGTGAGAATGAAGGTGTGTTAACAGCATTTTAGAAACACAAAATGTACTCAGATTTCTTAAGATGAACAAGTGTAATAAGTGTCATTTTTGTCTCTTCATTAGAGTGTGGCCGAGCTGGAGCAGAAATGGCAGAGTGAGGTAGATGATGCCATGCATGGGAAGCTGGAGAACAATGTCCCATTCTTTTATGATTATCACTTCAATGAGGTGAGCACGGTGCCTGCTGTGTGGGCTCATGCTTCGCGCTGCTCTCTCCGTACCTGCTCATCATTTTCCTTCACTTTGTTTAGAGCAAGATGAAAGAACTAGAACTTCTGTGTTCAATGAAAGAAGTTTCTTTTGATGGAAGTGATCTTGAGAATGTGGTCCTGGCGTTAAGGTTAGTAGCTGGCTGTGGAGGGTAGCATTTGGGCAGCTTCAAGCAGCTGTGGAATTCCAGCGAGTTCCAACAGTAGTTATGGAGGGTTAAACTTGCACACATATGTAAATGCTTGTTGAAATAGGCACTTGAATCTCAGTGTACCCTGTGACACTTAATGATGTGAAACAGAAGCTGGCACTAAATGTTTCAAAACCATTGTATGTAGAATTCCATTAAAGGCTGGTAGACCTATAGAAAGAAAATATTTGTGAGCAGGAACGTCCAGATGACCTTTTAATCAGGGATGCAAATACTTTAAAACTTAATTTTCTTCTCTGTCTAGCAATATCTGCTTAAAATTGTAAATATATTAATGCTAGTAGCTACAGCTACTAGTACTTACTATCAAATCACTTGTTGATTTCTTCACTTTTTCTGCTTTCTATTTTATTGGCGTAGAATGGATTGATGCCATATGTCATCTTTTAAATATCCTTTCTCACTAACACTTCATTTCAGAAGGCTTTAAAGTAATGGAGTTTACTTCTTTGGTTTTTCTTTCATAATCTTAGGGAGAAGTTTTTTCAAGAGGTGAATTCACTGATACAGAAGACCTCTCATCCCCTAGCAAAAACAAAAACATTAGTTAAGAGCTTGATGAACAGAGCAGAGCTGTTATTACATGTCACTATTGCAGCACAGTCTGGTATCACAAGGAGTATATCTGGTACCCCTGCAGAGACTCCAGGTATATGTTTCATTACCAGCATTGTACTTTCTTTTTTTTTTTCTCTTTTTGTAAAGATAGAATTTATTCCTTTTGTCTTACTCTCCCACTTAAATTAAAAGGAAAACTTTTTTTTAATTTTTCAAACGAATTTTTTTTTACAGTAAATGAAGTTGAGTCTTTGTTTTCTGATTGCTGTAATGATGGTAAATTAGGGCCTGAGTAATAATATGTGGAATTTAAACTTTAGTCTCCTGAGTTATTGGGGAAAAAATGCTTAACCTAATCAAAAGAAAAGTAACGTGAAACAATACCTGAAAATGAGAAAATCCTCAGAACTGGATTTCAAGTTTTTGCTTAGACTGTTTTTCTCCCACCCTATGTTAACTTCTGCTGGAGTGATTTTATAAAAAACCATTTGTAAATAACCTCCTACACCAAGAGTGACATTCTTTCATATTGTATAATATTGCAGCCTGCAAATCAGCATCTGAAACAAAGGTGATCTCGCACGCAGTCCGCCAGCCCGTCTTCCTTCGCAGCATGTCAGCACCCTCTGACTTAGAAATGATTGGTAACGAAGATCTCGAGTTTGCTAGATCAAGTCAAAGGTATACAAGGGTTTATTCCACTAAGCTGCTTTTCAGTAACGCGGCCTGTGTTAAAATCCTCATAAACTTTGCAAGCGTAGCACGTTTGGTTTTTAAATGGGATCAGCTTACTGGTGCCAGGTGTAATTATCATCCCATATTCTCACAGGCGCCGCCACGTCACCAGCCACAGAAGTAGCTCCTTCACTCTTCTGCAGTCCCTGACCATCGAGGACAGCAGAGACAAGCCCACGTACAGTGTCTTACTGGGACAACTGTTTGCTTTCATTGGGACAAATCCTGACCAAGCGGTATGGCATTTTTAAACGCACTAAATCATTGTATTTTCAAATTTAAACCCTTCACAAAGAGGGAAAGCGTCCTGTGTCTCTAACAAAACCAAACGAAATCTCATAGGTATCCAGCAGCAGTTTTCTGCTAGCTGCTCAGACGAGGTGGCGGCGTGGCAATACGAGGAAACAAGCCCTAGTGCATATGAGAGAGTTGCTGACGGCAGCGGTTCGGGTTGGAGGCGTGACACATCTCGTGGGCCCTGTGACCATGGTACTTCAGGGGGGACCAAGGTCTGTTTATTTCTCTCAAAGTAATTAAGTGTTTTGGTCTCTGTAGAAGATAGGAAATTGTTTTGCGCAAAGAAAAACTCTTGAGAAGCGACTAGCTGTGAGGGCTCGAGTTTGCAGAACAAAGCTTGCAACAGCCACTTTGGCCCTTGTGGGGTAAACAGGCAGAAACTTCTAGGAAATGCTTTAATTTGGCAGTAGATGAACTTTCCTTTCATACCGGGATGATGTGTCCAGAAATACCTATATAGGGTATCTCACTCTCCTGACTTTATTCTGAATTCTTGTTAATTAGTAATAGTGTTTTAGCTGATACTGATACAGTCATCTAAATTTGATAAATATTTGAGAAGTATTTTGTTTGTAGTCAAATTTAAATTGTCTCTGAGCTAAAACTAGCATAATACCTTGTTTACCTGTGTTTCATATTATAAGCAAAACTGCAAGTCACAGTGTTTTAAATCTTTCTTAACTCTTAATATGTGCTGATTTTTATTTTTTTTTTAAAGTCGTATTTGGAAGTTTGCTCGTTTTATTTTAGCTAGAAAGCTTTACCATTTCAAATTTCTAACTGCCAACAGAATTGAAGAGCTCACGTGTGGCGGGATGGTGGAACAAGTCCAGGAAGCTTTTGGAGAGACTATGACATCTGTGGTCTCGCTGTGTGCTCGCTACCCCATCGCTTGTGCAAATAGCATTGGCCTCTTATGCACTATACCTTACACGAGGTATGGAAGTAGTGTGAAATGGTGAATGTGAAAGGGAAAGAGGACATCTATTAAGGTTTTGCCTTAAGGAAAAGCATTAGCTAGCATAATTGTACTCCCTTTCTCCACAATGAGAGAAGTATCTGAGAACATGCTGTTAAATTCTCACAGAATTTCATCTGGGGAGGGCAAGACAGAGGCAGAACTGTCTTTGTGCAAAGCGAAGTTATTAACTGCAGAGCAAGTTCTGGAATTTCATTGTGTCTCTTGTTAGTGACTGAGAAGTTACTTCAGTAAAATCTGAATTTCTCCTCCACAGGAGCGAAGAGAAGTGCTTGGTACGTAGTGGCCTGGTACAGCTTATGGACCGGCTTTGCAGTTTAAGCAGCCAGACAGAATCCAGTTCGAATGAAAAACAAACTAAGAAACAAAAGGTGGCCACCATGGCTTGGGCTGCCTTCCAGGTGCTAGCCAATCGGTGTGTTGAATGGGAGAAAGAAGAAGGTAGGAATGCTGCCAGACGTATTTCTGCTGTGTGCTTTAGAATTGCCCAGGTGCCTGGGGAGCGGTATAAATGTTTTTAAAACAGGGCATCGCTCACCACGGCTTCCATGCTGTGTGGGTTCTAAAGAACACAGAAGTGGATGCAAAAATAAGTTGATTTTCTTTGTTTGTTTGGGGTTTTTTTTAAATTCTAGCTGCTTTTTCTCCTCATGGGAGTGTTTATGTTGCAGGTAATTTAAAGTCTGCCACTTGGTTCTGTCTAGACATAACCAGAGAACCCAGAGACCCTGAGTGATCGCTTTCTCCTGTGATAGGATTCACCCATAACATACATAAACTTAGACACATGGCTATTTGCTAATGGGACGTAGAAGCTGTATCAATTTTTATTTTTAATGAAAGACGTTTTAATTTTGTTACTACTTTCCCTTTATGGGTAAGGAATTTGTAGACGTGTACATTGATTTTTTGTTAATTCCGGCTGTGTGCTCTTGCATTGCTTTTAAAGGTGGTTCAACAGAAGCTGTTCACTCTGGTCTGGCTCGTCAGGTCTCCAGCCTTCTTACCAACCACCTCGCACGAGCTACGGAGTGTTGTGGTAATCAAGCTGCAGGAAATGATGCGCTTCAAGATGTTCTCAGTCTTCTTAATGACCTGTCAAGGTACTAGGCCTTTGTCTCTGGAGTTGTTTGGGTTTTTTATTATGTATGAAAGCAGGTGGGGGCTCTTTTGGGGATTGTTGGGTTTTTTGCTGTTTGTTTTGGGTTTTTTTTTTACAGTAGTGAAGTTAAGTAACTTTCAAAACCATTCTAAAATTTGATTGTAAACTGACACTCAGTGTTTAATCACTGTTAGCATGTTACATAAGAATTGTTGCAGGTAAAGTTTTGTCCGATGCTGATTTTCTTTTTACTTTCATTTTTGAAATAATAAATTGTTTTTAATTCCAAGAGCATCTTCAAACAATCAAAAAATATTTTTTTTTTTCAAACAGCAGTTACCTATTCTTTCTCCCTTTCAGGAGTCACATAGGTAAAGCAATCCTCAGCCAGCCTGCCTGTGTGTCCAAGCTTTTGTCACTTCTCTTGGATCAGCGTCCTTCTCCAAAGCTGGTCCTTATCATCCTCCAGTTGTGTCGTGCTGCACTGCCTCTCATGAGTGTTGAGGACTGTGGAAATGTGGAACTGCCTCCCTGGAGCTACTCAGTACCCTCTCTGAACAGCGAACAGGATGATCCCAGTGACCCAGCCTCCAAGATTGCCTCTCTGCTCTTGGCAAAGCTGGCGGATTATGTAGTACCAGGTACCAGCATCTTTTTGATGTGGTGCTAATTTGAGAAATTGCCAAGCAAGTCATGTTTCCGCAGGGAGCTTTTGTACTGACAGAAAGCTCAAGCAGGAAAAGGTACATGATATGTCAGTATCGAAAGACAGGATATTTCTGTGACATCCCATCTGCCTCTTAATTTAACTGTTCTCAGACAAAAGTGTGTGTCCCAGTGATGTTTTAGATGCATCTCGGGTGTATTAGCATTAGTTTCAAGGTCAAGAAAGTTTTTGTTGATAGAGCTCATGGTTGTGTGTTTTCCTTTGCTCCTCAAGGATGCCAGACAGTTCTTTCTCCAACTGCCTCTGAGCCGGATACTACTTTGGCAAAAGCCAGTCCTAAAAATTCTATAAAAGGTGATAAAGATCCTGGAGAAGAAAGCGAGGCAGTGGATGGTAAACTTTCCATTTTTATTCATAAACGGGAAGATCAGTCGTCCCATGAAGTCCTTCAGCCATTACTAAGGTAATCTTAATTTGCCGGATTGGAATTAGCAACCTATTTCACCAATACCATTTCTCTTCTTTTTTTCGGTGCTACAGCTATATAAAAACACATTCTCGATCTAATAGTAAATGGGAAAGCAAAATGTCTTCCCAGTTCGTCGTGTTTACTGGCAAAGCAGTAAGATAATGCAAAAAAGGTTTATAGGGCTGATGCTTAGTGTGCTGTTACCTGGATAAAAGTGCATACCACTATACTGCATTTGTGGTGAGGCAGCAGCAGAACGAATCTAAATCCCAGTGCTTCCTGGACTTGTCTGCTTCGTAGAAGACTGTTTAGCAAAGATGAGGGCAGCAGAGCTGAAACAGAGCAGATTATACAGATGTATACAAGGTGGAGGGGGATATGAAGTGTGACGTTTTGGTTTTGGCTTCCTTACAAGCCATGTCAGCCACTAGCAAAGGAACAACAACAAAAAAAGTCTTTTAATCTGTCTAAAAACAATCACATGAAAAATTATCTTCTTAAATGAGACTCCAATCAGAAAAATTTAATGTTGTTATGATATTACAGCCTGTGTAGGACTGACAAGTACAACTATCAAAGCAAAATGGCTTTAAAAGCATTGCTTTTAATAATGCATACACTGGATAATCATTTACTATTACAGCTTCTTTACTATTCTTAATACCCACCTGTTTTTTGTGAGCTCTGAATGTCAAACAGACAACATTATCATCTCTTGCATTTTGTGCTATTTGTTTCCTCTTCTCCCACTCCACGAGTTCAAAACCAAGTTGCCCTAAAAATGCTACTAAAAGGTACAGCTGTTGGGTGCTCTGAGGTGAAAGGTTAACTCGGAGCCCTTGGGCATTTGTGTTCAGTAAAAAGCCAATTTCATGATGCTTCTTTCTGAGAGGGGAAGAATTAAGTTGCTATGCAAATAACTCCATTCAGTAGTACTAAATTCCTTTTGCAGAGTACAGTGCAGTTGGGTATGTCCTTAACTATCTAGTATTCCTGTTACTGTTGAGCAGTTTAGTTGCATGGGTTGCTTTCAAATAAATTCAAACTATGCATAGTATGTTAAATTAGACTGTATAGTACAGCTGTTTTTTCCACCGGTGAAAACAAAGCTCATGTGTTTTGTTTTCACTTTTACAGTAGCTCAGAAGGTCGTCCATTCCGACTAGGAACTGGTGCCAATATGGAGAAAGTGGTGAAAATGGATCGAGACATGACAAAAGTAAGAAAAAGGAATAACTGAAGAATTATTCAACGTTGTAAAAAATGGGTGGCCAGTCAGAATTCTTGTTTTAATTGATGTTAAATCCCTGTTGGTTAAATATTTAGTTTACAGAACTGTTCAGAAAGATAGCTTTATATGTAATGGTAGCATTATGTAGTTATTGATGTAAATGCGGGGGTAAATGACAAAGAAGAATTTTAGCTAATGCTTTCTCCGACCATTGTAGATCATCTTTCAGCCCCTTGAATATTCTCATTCCTGAAGTGTTTAATGCACAGTGATAGTATGAATTTTAAACCATATATTTAAATTAAATTTTTGTGTATATCTTCAGACATACTTCTTGAGTATTTCTGGTGCAAATACTCATGTGTGACTTTTTGATCAGGGAAGAGAAACCATCCTGTTAAGCTAAAAATGGGATATTAGAGGCAATGAATCCGTGTTGATCTCCGCTCTCTTTGTAGAGGAGGAAAAGCAACAGAAAGAATTTGTCTTGTGACTGTGACTAATACATGCACAGGAGGATGTTCTGATGTGTTCTTAGTACTTTTACATATGCAGAGGGATGAGAATTAAATGCATCTCACAGTGTGGCCCAATAGAGTTAACATTGGTATTTGTCTTATATGGCAATTTTATTTTCAGAGTGGCTGCTGTGAAGTTATTACAGAAGAAGCTGCTGCAGCTCTTCGAAAGGCAACTAAGTGGGCACAGTCTGGTCTAATAGTTAGCGTTGGGCCACCCATAGAAACTGTCAATCCAGAAACTACTAGTGGGTTGTCCACTGGGGACAAAAAGAAGACGGCACAAACATCTATTTGCAGAGAGAGGAATTCTGAGCTTGCCAGGTCAGTCACTTTGATTCTATACTCAGAGTCTAGATTCTGCTTTTCTGAATACCAGTGCTCTGAAAAATAATCCAGGTGTTCGTAAACTTCCCTTTCTTTTTTTTTTTTTCTGCTGTATATTGTTGTTGACAATTGAAGCTTCTTTTCCTTCTCTTGTTTTGAAATTAATAGGCAAATTGCTTTCTACTCCTGTACAGGACGGATCCTGTGAGGCCATTCATTAGTGGCCATGTTGCCAACAGCATGGCAGCAGAGGTGATTGCTTTGCTGCATAGCTTGCTGATGGCACCAGAATCAAATGCAGCTCAGATATGGACAACAACTGCTGAAAAAGTAAGCAAGCAGAAGATGAAATATCAAATTCTACACCAAGCGTGTACTGAGTAACTAAGAGAACTTAATGATTAGCAATTTCCTAAGCTACTCCTTTCTAATTTGCTATTTCTAATACTTGAGACTGGGATGTGTAACTGCACAGAAGCAGCCCTTTCTAGTAGTAGATGGTATCTATCTGATAGGTGGAATAAATAATCAGAAATTTCCTGGCCTTAGGGAATGTGTTGTCATTCTGTAATTCGCTGTTTGTTTAGGGAATTATCTTCTCTTTGCCAGGTAATTATTCTGCCTTTGCATTCAGCCCTCTTTGCCACGACCTCTGAGGGTTTGAAGCGTTGGCTGGAAAGTAGAGCACATTGCTTTTATGTTCCTCTGAGTCCTGTGGCACCTAATCTGTTGCTTAAGCTAAATCCTTGAGCAAAGACTTTTGCTAAGATTACATACGTGACTCTGCGATTCTAGAAGTTATTAGGGAACAGAGCTGGCTTTGGTGTTCACACTTCAGAGAACTTGGAATATTCTGAGTTATATAATTCTCTTCAAGAACAAAAATAATTCTTCTGAGACTGTGTGTGGGCTGGAGGCTTGGGGCATTGGTTTTTGTTTGAATTGTCCTTTGAAGTCATCCTCTGGTATTTTTGGTTGTGTCTTCAGGTTCTGTCTCGGGCTCTGATGTACATTCCCCAACTTGGGAAATACGCAGAGAGTATTTTGGAGAACGGGAGTAGCAGCGGAAGGAAACTTGCTAAACTTCAAAGAATTGCTCGGCAGGCAGTAGCTGCCCTTTGTGCTCTGGGTGGCTTTAAGGAGACGATTAAAATAGGTTCTGAAGTTCAGGTAATTTAGCACCATTCACATTCTATATGTTAAATGAGAAGTGGTGCTTTTGGTGATGCTTTGCCTGCATCGACGTACCTGTGGAGCAATTGCCTGCAATTGTGAAGCAGTTGCAATAACACGTGCTATTGTGTGTTATTCCTGTTTCCTAAAATACCCAGCTCTGTAATTGTGTTGCGTTGCTGTGTGGTGTTTAAACGCTCAGTGTTTGTTGTTCGTAAAGCCTTAAATCTTACGCGGCCCTTCTTTGGTTGTAGGTTTTAGGTAAAGGAATAGCAGGAAGCATTGGAGTTGTGGCATCTATTAATGAACAAGAAGGTATAGCAACGGTCAAATTTCCACCTACCAGTATAGACAGTAGAAAGACCTCACAAGCATCAGACACATTAACTATTCCATTATCTAGGCTCTGTGTTCCAAGATCTGAGGTACGGTAGTTTTAAGAATCCAATATTAAGTATAATATCAATTATTTATATTTTTCGTCACAGCATACTGGCAATGAATCTACAGCATGTAAAAAGTCTGTTTCATCTTTGATTAAATATTATTTGTAAAGTTTGCCTCATTGTTTTAAACACAGCTTAACTATCTATATTTAAGTTCTCATTTGAGTAACATCAATAGTCATTTTTTGGTGCTTAAAGATGTTCCATTGCATACTGTGTTGGTTTTTTTGGTTTTGTTTCTGTTCCTTTTTTTTTTTTTTTTAACTGGTGTTTGGTGCTGGTTTTGTGATAGTACAAAATAAGAATTAACTCCAGGTAATAAAACACCCTCATTTCTTAGAAACTAACTACTTGAATTTAACTTTTTACCGTGCCCCCCCACCATCAGGCATTGCCTCTTCATAAACTGTCCATTACTGAGAAGGTAGTACAGGCAGTCCAGTCCATGTTGCTTCCTCAGGAGGGAAGTCTATCTATTCACACCTCACTTCCTGCAACAGGAGATGGCTCAACTCCAGTAATGGCAGTGGTCCGGCTTCTTGCTGAAATAAGAACCAGGTGAGTTGCTGGTTTTTGTGCAGCACCTCAGTCTGTTTTGACTCTTTACACAAACATTCAAGGAAATTGCATGGGGTTTTGTTTTCTTCCTCTGGGGGTATTGGCATATGACAGCAGGAGACAATGCAAAAATTACTGTTTGCTTCCTTAAGGACATTTAGTGTCTGGATGATGTTAAAATGAGCACCAAAAATAAAGTGCCCCCTGTAATACACTGACAATGCATTGAGCAAATACATCATCTAAGTAAATGTTATGAAGCAGGGGGAGGCTGTCATTGTGGAAGTTCCAACAGATAGCTAGGCAACCAGATAAAGCAGTAGATCAGTCGGTGCGCTGTCTTTTAAAATAGTCTTGAATTCAGTACATGTAAAGACCACTTTGATGTCAGCGTACAGTTTTGTAATGCTTTAAACATATTATTTTTCCATTAAGAGCATGCCTGGTGATGGCTCAGCTGTTAGAAGACAGCTCTTTCTGTGAAGAATTCATTCAACAGTGTCCAGCTGCTGTAGAAGTTCTTAATTTGGTAGCGCAGGAGTGCAGCCCTGGTAGGTATTGAACGTGTTTGTGCAGCTTCATTGTCCTATTCGGTTCAGAAACATAACAGCTTTTAAAATCATTTCAGTGTTTTGTCTTCCGGCTACTTAGGGTTTGATAGCTAGCACAGGACAGCATGTCCTGTCATAGCTGCAGAGCTCTTAACATAAGAGTAGCTGATAATCAGACTAAACAATTTTAACATGAGGCATAAATTTTTAGGCCAGAACATGATTACCCTGTGGACCACAGAAGATGCTAGCTCTCTAGTACTACTCTTCTGAATGCTCTCCACTGTTGTTTCCCGTGTCACCTACTCTGGATTCCATGATGTTATCCTTTGTATGGGTTTTTTTATGACCTTTCTGCTGTTTTACACAATGCTTTCTTATATTCCTTATCCTTGAGTTCTTGATTTCTTTCCCTTTTGTTTAAGGATAAGCAGCGGGCCCAGCATAAGTCTTAGTTCAAGGAAAGTTTTAGGAACATGTCAAAGCTGTTCATGGGAGGAATGGCTGAAGTGAAGGATGTCAGGGTAGGAACCAAGGGGATTTTGGTACGATCTCCAGTGTAAAAGGGAGCGTATCGATTTTTTGACAGCAGGCATAAGTTCTTTTGACTTCCTGCCTTTGCGGGGTCATAAACATGCTCACTAACTTTATATCTCAATTAATGTAACAGTGTCTTTGCTGACCAAATATAAATTAAACACGGGAGGAAAACAATTGCTTGTATACATTCGGGTTTGTCCTTTAGTTTATCCTTATTAGGTGAGATTATTTGATCGGATCTCTTAACTTGCAAATGTAATGTTTGTTTGTATTTAGTGGTGTTAAGATTGCATTGTTGGACTCGTAATTAGGCTGGCTTGGAACCTCATGACTTGGTTTGTTGTTACAGGGGAGAGGCTCCTTGTTGTAGAAATGCAGTGTGAAAGGTTACGAATGTTGTATCGTGACTGTGCTCGACCTCCCCCTCCTCCCCTCCAAGCGGACAGGAGACAGGTGAGCACAGAAACACTGCCGAGTCTTCTGCCCCTTGCAAGTGAAGGCAGGCACTGTCTGCAGAGGGCCTGCCTGTGGGGATGGAGCCGGACTGGCTAAATTCTTATTCAAGTATTTAATTTAATACGAATTCCTGTAATAGGATGTAATTTGTGATTGCAGTCATGGTAATTGCCTGTGTTAAATTAAATGTGCACTTCGTAAAAGAACGTGTCGTTGGATTTCAGTAGATGACTTCAAGTGGAATTGGTAGAATAAAACATTCTGTTCCTGTTTGTAGCCCAAAGAAATCACTTGGAGCCCATCAAGAGTGTTTCCCCCTGTGCGAGCGTGCATGTTTTCATCGCATCTCACAGCTGTGACCTTTTTGGCTGATCCTAGTGCAGGTGGGGGACTTCCTCGGGGCACCTTTATCTATGCCACTTCACCAGTTCCAGTGCAGGTAAGAACTCATGACTGTACAACAGTCTCCGTCGTTTAATATTCAACAGCACATGAAAAGAAAAAGAAAATTTTCTATTTTACCTATGTTTTGTAAATAATTTTTTAAAAGTTGATATTTTTACTTCTAGGCACCATCATTCTACTGGGAAATTGAAATAGTTTCCTATGGAGATACAGATGATGACACGGGACCGATCGTTTCATTTGGATTTGCTACAGAAGCTGAAAAAAGGGATGGTGCTTGGACAAACCCAGTGGGCACCTGTCTCTTTCATAAGTACGTTGACGTACACCAGAAATCCTGCCCTTTCTCAGTACCTCAGCATGCTCCTTAGGGAGCAGTTCTTGTGAGCGAGTTGTAGTAGGCAACGTGTAGGTTTTAACTGAAATGTTAAAATGCTGAACTAGAATATCTTGAGTTGCCTTTTGTGAGTATCACAGCTACCTCGACTTCGGCTGGTAGCGAGGTGTAATCCTGACTTGTTTCGGTGCTGCTCTTGATTTTCTTCTTGTGTTACTTCTCAGCAACGGGCGAGCAGTGCATTACAATGGGTCCAGCTTGCTGCAGTGGAAGAGTGTGAGACTGGATGTGACTCTTTCTCCTGGTATGTAAGAGTACAGCTGACTTGCTCATCCGGTAAATCAGAATAAGGGAAACGGTGGTTGAGAAAACAGGACTAAATCCATGTTGTTCTTTGGATGATTATATTTTTCTACAGGTGATGTAGCAGGAATTGGATGGGAAAGAACAGAAGGAACTCCACCCCCTCCAGGGCAGCCAGCTAAAGGCAGAGTTTATTTTACATATTGTGGGCAGCGACTTGGACCATATCTAGAGGATGTCTCTGGTGGAATGTGGCCAGTTGTCCACATTCAGAAAAAGGCAAGTTTTGAACAGAATTATGTTGCTTGATATATATTCTCTCAGAAATATTAAAACCATTTAATAGACAGTATTGAGCCTGCTTACCTATCTATAAAAAAGTAGAGTGATAGTTTTTACCTTTATTAAGTTAGGTTGGTGTATTCCGTTACCCTTTGCAGGTGTATGTGTGTTCTGTCATTATTTTGAACTTTTTCTGGCTCTTAGGACACCAATGAGCAGCTGGCTTGATGAGATGGCCCTATTCTGTGGTAGTAGACCTTCTGTTAGTATTCCTTCCCAGAAATTACTTTGCTTCCTAGTATCCTAGCTAAGTATGCTGTATCTTGAAGCTAGAAAACAGACAAATTCAAAGTTTATCTTCAGAAGCTTAATAATTTCCCTGCTGCATCCAGTTTTAGAGCTAGTGGTGCTGGGAAAACTGTACAGCAGGGAGATGTCATCAGCTTATCCCTTTGGCTGAGTTTCTTTAAAAAGAGCAAAGAGGAGGATCAAAACAATCCACAACTTGTAATGCTTTTCTGTGTGTCTTCTTTCAGAACACGAAAGTTCGAGCTAACTTTGGATCTCGGCAGTTTGCCTACGCAGAGGGACAGGCTCACCGGAACGCTGCCGACCTCTGTATTGACCTGGCGGAGGAAATAAGTGCCAACTTTGAAGCGTTGCCTTTTGCCATGGCTTCTGATAGCGATAACGATGCTGGCACCAGTATAGCTTCTGATCCTGGGACCCATGGACCTCCTTGTAGAATCGCTGCTGTTGCTACGGCTCAACAACGTAAAGCGATGATTAGCATTTTATTTATTTATTTATTTTAAATCTCTTTCAGGAGAAATTTCGGTTAAGTAAATAGGATTTAATCACATCCTGGCTGCAGTCCTTAGGGACTGCCTGTTTAGGTAAAGCAGCACAACAAAGGTTGTTAAATTGCTCCTTTGGTTTTTAGACAAGGCAATTTAAAAAAAAATAAATCTTACTGTGGTCTTTGTTTATATGGATGCATTAATTATTCTCAATTAATGTAACCACAATGAGAAATGACCTTATCAGGGCTTTGAATACAATAAGATATTATACTTGATTGAATCAGTCAGTTGCCAAAAGGCACCGCATTTCCACAGACCTGTTGGAAACCGTGGAATGCAATTTATCTAGGACCTCCTGGAATATTTTTGCGTGCCTTCCAGTGCATTACGATCTCTGTATTTCCATGTGCGTTTTGCAGAGTACGACAGCGACACATCTTGCCACTATAAAATGGAACTAAGCTACGAGAACTTCATCACGTCGGGCCCCGACCCTCACCCCCCTCCTATTGCAGATGATGAAAGTGATGATGACGACGACGATGATATTCCCCGGGTGAGTAGCATGGCAAGCTCTGCCTGCTGCAATTTGTAGTCTGAATACAGATTTTATAATTCAGATTTTTAAGTTTAGCCACACAGGGGTTTTCCCTGCTTCCTTAAGGAAAATATAGCTGCTGTTAACTTTTCTTTCTTCTTGATGTTCTAAATAACTTTTGTCTTTGTAGGAGGATCACTATGCCCTGTTGGTTAAAGCCTGGGAAACTAAAGTTTTCCCTACAATTAGAAGAAGATTCCGTAATGAGGCTGAGAGGAAGTCTGGGTTGGATCAGATTAAAGGAGCTTTACAGTTAGGTATGGCTACGTTTACTTTCATGCACAATGTTTTATATGATGTGCAATAAGTGTGAACATAACACCTGTGTTTCTTGTGTTTTACTGTATTCAGGGCTGGAAAAGTTAAATAAGAAAATAAAATTCACTTGCTGTTAGTGAAGTATTTAGAATTTGTTTTGTCTCAAGTTGGACAACTTAAATAAGGAAAGTGTTTTCAGAAATAGTGGCAGAATCTGTTGTGATGTGGATGCAGAAATACTTTGGAATAATAGTTGGGGAAGAAATCTACGTGCATTTTCTGTCTATATTTTAAGGCAAAACTTCTGAGGAACTTCTTAATAAGGGGGGATTTGTAAATGAATACTGTTCTGGCAAGACAACCTGTCTGTGGAAAAGTCACAGTAAGAGCAAAGAGAGAAATCTGAGGCCTAATGAGAAGCATACAAGTGTGTCTCAGGGCAGCTTCACTCCCTATCTATTAGCCTGACTGAAAGAATATTTAAGTAATTAGCTCATCTGCTTATGACGTTAATGAGAGGAAGAACTTATTTCGGGTGGCTGGGGAAAATAACTAGTGCTTCCTTCTGTCTACCAGGAATGGTTGATATAGCCCGACAAACTGTAGAATTCCTCTATGAGGAAAATGGTGGCATCCCAAGAGACCTCTACCTTCCTACCATTGAGGATATCAAAGATGAAGCGAACAAATTTACAATTGATAAAGTACGAAAAGGTAAGGTCAGCAAAAAATAGCTTGAGGGGAAAATAAAAGCTCAGAAGCTTTGGTACTTGGGTTTTACTGCATAAATTATCAGTCTGAGGATAATGCTGTACCCTAAAAATTGCATTGTCCCTTTCTGTCCAGGTCTCACGGTGGTGACTCGCTCTCCTGACAGTAACAACGTTACCAGTAGTGCTGTTGGAACAGCTTTACCCAAGTTTGCTATTCGTGGGATGCTGAAGACATTTGGTCTTCACGGTGTTGTTCTGGATGTTGATTCAGTGAGTAAAGATACATCGGGGAGGGCTTTTAACGTATCGGCATCACACGTCTCTGAGAAAATATCATTAAGTGTACTAAACCACTTAGAATGTGGATTTGGTGTGCTTTTGGAAGGAAAAAGATGGTATCTTTTGATTGACAGTGTTGGTTTTGGTGTTCCAGGTAAATGAGCTAGTACAAGTAGAGACGTATCTCAGAAGTGAAGGAGTTCTGGTAAGGTACTGGTATCCTATTGACATGTTAGAAAGGCCACCGGCTGGTTATAGGAGGACTGCAACCAATGGCTTGGTTACCCTGGATAACACCAATATCCAAATCCACAGGTAAAAAAAAAAACCAAAAAACCAAAACGTAGTTAGAAGGCATTTGTATTATCTGACTTGATCTCCAGCGTTTCCTATAGTACAATTATCCACTGCAGCCTTGTCTTGAGCAGTAGCAAACTTCTGAGTCTTATTGTAGTTGTATTAAAGCTGACAAGGGTTCATTAAATCTTCGTGTTTGAGTAGCGGGGTTTTGGTTTGGAGTTTTTAGAGGGGTTTTGTAATAAAAGAAATTTATTGTGATTGTCTTGTTGGAAGAATTTTACCTAGTCGTGTGAAAGTGGTTCTATACACGCTGGCCTAACAGGTATCTTCCCTGAGGTTTCTTGTACCATCAGTCAGTTGCTGCCTAAAAGCTCAAGAACTCTCAACTGACCTTTTGGAGAGTTGGCTTCTAATTCAGGTGCCGTAATTTGGTACCAGAATTAGATGGGCTGAGTGCGATCTTAAGTGAATAAGAAAGATTTGGGTCTACCTGAGCCTTTAAAATAAGAATAAATTAGGCGTGTGTGTTCAGATTCAGAGGCAGGTTGCTGGATATGGTTTATTTGAAGTATGGTGAGGTAATTTTATGTTTGGATGTTTGTGTTTTCTAGAGAGCTTTTACGAAGTGAAGCTTCTCTGGCCAAGCTGTACTGCCGCATGGCTCTCCTCAATATTTTTGCCCCCAAATCTCCACATATGTTTACTCGTCTGTTCCATATTCCTGCCATCCGTGATATCACTCTGGAGCACCTGCAGTTGCTATCCAACCAACTTCTTGCACCACCTCTTCCTGGTAAACACCATTTTTTTTTTATCACAGCTCTTTTCTGGTACAATAGTTTCCTGGGGGAAGAAAAAAAAAATAATTTGGCACTTACTGATTAATTAGTAATGATGGGATTTGAAATAATATCTCGATGGACTCCTGGCCTTAGTGATAGGGTGCTGAACTGAAATTCTTGCTAATGATCTGATGAAAAGTGTTCAAAAGCGTTCAGAATCCCTCTTAAGACTCCATTCAGTGTGCTTTTGTCTCTTTGCCGTCGGTGATCTGTCTGGGGAGGGGGGCAAGTATCCATGAGGGATGCTTGCAGGGAGTTGAGAATGTTTTCTAGTTTGGATCCAGGGCAGTAAAACTAAATGCCAGTTGGGTCTCAGTTTGCAAAATTCAACTCTTCTTCATTTCACAAAGTGGTTTGTCCTTTTCCTACTGGAATCACAGATCTGATTAGAGAATGTATGTGCTGAATCATGGAAAAGAATCTTTGGCTAATTCAAGTGAGTGTTGACAAAGACGATTATCGTGACAAAGCTATTCTGCATGCAAAGAAACGTGTGTAACGTGGCTGGAGCATAAGGAGGAAGTAGGAAGTGCTAAATATAGGCTGTTAATAACCGAAAGTAATTACTTAACTGTTGGAAAGAGTCCTGTGCCCTCCTCCAATTATTTTGAAACTTGGCTACCTCTAACAGATGCTGCACTGTAGAAGATCCTCTTGCAGAGTACAGCATTACTTTGCATGGCTTTGAGAATAATTTTACAAGCTTCTATTTAGTTTTTCCTCTTTAGAATATGTCTAATTCAAGTCCTGCTAATACGTACCCGTTTCCAAACTGGCGTTTTGGTGAATTACCCACTCCTTTGTGCACTTCACTTTGTTTTTCTTTTGATTTTTCCCATTAGCTCCAGAACGACAGCCGTGAGATGTCGGGGTTTGCGACCCACTTGGGGCCCCTTAAAAGCTTTTTTTGTATCTGGGGCAAGCTTGAGAACAGATAAAGCTGCTTTCAGCTCATCTCAAATGAGTGGGGAAGAGAGTGCTTCTGGTCACTTGTCCTCATTGTCCTTCTGCAGTAAATTGAAATATTTCTGCCTTCATACGTGGGCTGAGGCTGCTGTGACCCCCCAGCTCGGGGTGTCTGGCAGAGCTCCCTCAGGGTTGGCCTAAGGGAGGTGAAGAGCACAGCTGGCATTTAGAGAGCCACCCCGTCTGCACCCAACTGTGCCAGGGGTGCAAGTCTAGTTTTGGGTGGATCCTTTCTACTGCTGACCTTTGGGGGGAGTTTTGCACTTGCTCAGGAGTGAAAATAAAGGCTTGTAATCCTCCAAGTGTTTTAAAACTCTTTCCGCTGTCTGTTTCACAGGCTACGTAAACATGTTGAAGTGATCTTCGGATTTGTCTTATCTCACTTGTTATTACAGATGGAACAATCAGTTCGAGTTCAATTCTTTTGGCCCAGTCCCTGCAACACTGCGTCCATTCCCAGAACTGTGCTGCCACAGACCTCTTCTACCAGGGCAATTCGCAAGCCATCAGAGAGTGGCTTACTGTGGCCATCACTCGGACACTCCATCAAGGAGAGGAGAGTCTGTTAGACCTCACTAAACAGATCTGCTCCTTTTTGCAGGTAAAATAGTTACTCATGTTGTATGAGCAGCGGTGTTTCTGTTTCTGAGGAGCCCTTGCTTTATGTGTGATTCTAAACTCCAGATTACTGTCCCTCTCAATGAATTGTTTCTCTAGGTGGGTTGTATTCCTGTTCCTATCGTAGTGGGCACGCTGAAAACACAAGCAGTACTCTGGGTCATATTAAAACAAAGTGGCCTCACGCTGTGTCATTAATTACAATGCTGTATTTTAGTTGAAAAAAGAAGAGGGAGGTGGTTTGCTGCTGCCTGGGGGCATTCATTATAAAACGTTCTGTTACAGACAGCACCAGAACAGTTTCCTGCTGAAGAATTCCCAATTTCAGAATCCAAAGTCAATATGGATGTTAATTTTCCTGGGGCTGCGTTTGTAATTGTGTCCTGTAAGGAAAGTCAGTCTGGATTCCGCAAAGAGTAAGTAATTGGGGGACCAAGGGTGACAAAGATTAAAGATGTGCCACTGCGCTTCTGTGAACACTGAGTATGTGGTTGCTCTTTTTTTAGATTTTTTTAGATTTTTTTTTTTTTTTTAGATTTTTTTTCTCATCTCAGAGACTCATTTTCTGGGTGGTGGGATGAAGACCACAGTGTGTTTCATCTTTCTGCGATTGGGTTGGCATTTTCAGTAGCTGGTTCCATTCTAACCGAACTGTTCTTGACTTTTTTTTTTTTTTTTCCCAGTTCATCCCTGTATAAAGCTCCGTGGGCTCGAGTGCTGGTTTATGGGCTTGGGCATAAAGTGAAAAGAAATGGTCAGTTGAACCTGATTGAAGCAGTGTGCTACCCTCGAGATGCCTCTCCAACCAACACAGGCCTAACGCCTCCCCCAACCACCAATCAGTACCCTTCAGTGATCACCCCTACGGACAAGGTCCACATCAAATTAGGTAAAAAAAAAATTAAAAAATTTAAAAACGTTTTTAGCTATGTTCTCAGAAGTGAAACAAGCAGCGTCATCGCCTCTGTGCAGGAGCTTCCTCTATTACCAGTCCTGCTGTTGGTTAAGACGGTATTTTTGTACAAGGTATTAAGAAATGTCTCCTAGCAGAAATAGGCAATCATTCTTAAGCAAGAAAACATGGTTTTAGAAACGTTGCAAGCCATCTGACTCTGATTTTGTTAGTTCTGTTACTTCTGTTAGGATCCGATTTTTTTTTTTCTGAGTTTTGTCTTCCATGAGTTCACGGAGCAGCGTTTCTGAATATTCCTGCAGTGTTCCAGTTGGTGCTGTTGCTCTTTGAGATGCTGTGTTGCAGATGGAAATATTTTTTTTTTTACTTTTCTAGGTGATTGTAGGGTCCTTTAATATGCAGAGTAATACATAGGTCACCCCAGCTTCTCAAGCAAGAGCAATTATGAATATTCTTTTTACCCTTTCAGCCTAAGGAAGAGACAGTGGGATTTATTTAGAGCAGTGAAGGTGACTGAGCTGCAGTAAACTCTTAAAACTTCTGACTTGGAGGTCTTTAAGTTCTTTTGCTGGACGACAGCATCTCTGATGTTTTTATCAATACTGATCACGCACACCATACTACAAAGAAATGGCTTTGTAAAAGTCCTGTATGTATTTAGATATGAAATAAGATTATTTTTAGCTGTACGTATGTCATGTAAACAAAATGTTATCTGTATTTTTCTAATTATAGATTATATCAACACATCATTATCAATAAACATTCCTATTTGTTTATTACAAGGTACTTAATAGAGAAAACTTTCACTTAACATAAATTTAGCCTCAAAAAAATCCTAAAAGATATGACACTACTTTTATTTTACAAATGCCTAGAGTCATGATAAGTATTTTCTCTGACCTTTTTGCTTAGGAGTGTCTCCTCCTCCTGGAGCTGTGTTGGTCCTGCATTCTCTCCCTCTCGAATTCCCCCTGGCAATGGCATTTGCAGAACAGCTGTTAACTTGGAAATTGGAAGATGGGGATGGAAAATCAGAAGATGAACTGGATACTATTCCTGCTTCAGTTCTCTTGCAAGTAGTGGAATTTTTAGGTGAGAATGCAGTATTTCCTTAGTAGTGAGCAATAATGGGCTAGCTTAGATGGAGTTTAGGCAAAACCAAAAAATTAGTCACAAAGTATTTCTGAGCTCTTCCATTACATTGAAGTTTTATTCAAACTCCAGAAACTTTCTGTTGATACGCACTTCTTGTATTGGCTTTCCTGTCTGTCTTACTGCTGACATACAGCCACTGAAATGACCTTTTCTTGTGCTTTTATTTAATGTTACTGTTCCAATTCATGTAATTAAGCTACTAAGAGTGAAATACTGCTGACTCCCACATCTTGCCTTCCCCACACAGGGAACTTTCTCTGGACCACTGACATGGCAGCATGTGTGAAGGAATTAATATTTCATCTCTTGGCTGAGTTGCTTCGCAAAATTCACAGTCTGGAGCAGAAAAAAAACCCAGCGGGATTGTCATCTTCTATTGCCCTTCAGCTAAATCCCTGTCTAGCTATGCTTATGGCCCTGCAGTCGGAGCTTCACAAGCTGTATGATGAAGAAACACAAAACTGGGTGTCTGGAAACGCGTGTGGTGGTTCTGGTGTCGGAGGGGCTGACCAAGGAAGATTTTCAACCTACTTCCACGCTCTGATGGAGGTCTGCCTCGCTGTGGCAGAAGTAACCCTACCTATCAATATGAGCGTCACAGCTACTGTCATGTCTTCAACAAGTGCCCCAAATCTTAGTGACTCTTCGTCCTCGTCTTCGTCTTCTCCAGGACAGACGCCGCAGAGTCCAAGCTTGCTGTCAAAGAGGAAAAAAGTGAAAATGAAGCGGGAAAAGACATCGTCTTCAGGCAAACGGTCCTCATCCAGGGCGGCTGAAACGGACGCTGCGATCCTCAGCATCGGAGGGAGCAAGCCTGAGGACATGTTATGGTTTCACAGAGCGCTGACTCTGCTGATAATTCTCAGACACCTGACTAAAAAGGACCCCCAAGGATTGGGGGTGACAAACGATGCCGTGGCAGATGCGTGTCAGGCACTAGTAGGTCCCACGGCTCACAGCCGCTTGCTGGTCATCTCTGGAATACCAACGCACCTGGAGGAGAGCACGGTCAGAAGCGCCATCAGGAAGGCGTGTAACGCCCACGGTGGGGTCTTCAAAGATGAGATCTACATCCCTCTGCAGGAAGAGGATCCCAAAAAAATCAAGGACAAAGCGGAAGGAGGAGAATGCAGAACAGAACTGGAAAAACCGACTGTTTCGAGCAGTGCAGACAGTTTGGATATCAGCAGCTCCAGCAGCGTCACACCTGCCATGAGCGTTAGTGCTTCAGCCTCTACCAGCCAGGCCTCCCTCTGCAGCTCCCAGGGTTTGTCTCGGACCGTTAGCGATATCTCTGTTGACCAGTTTCAAGCAGGAATGGAACTGGCCATCCCGCCAGGCTTGCTAGAACCACACGTTGTTTCCAGCCAGGAAAGTTTGGATCTTTCACACTGCAGTACCGGCAGCCTCGGCAGCCTGGGCAGCCTCGGGGAACCTCTTGACAACGTAGAAACAGCTTCTGTGTCTGATGTTGGATCCATGTACACAGTCACATCTCTGGACAACCAGCCGCTTCTGGCACGGCCCATCAAAGGTTTTGCTGTAGTAGAGGTAATAGCTTTTAATCAGGAGAGGGTGCCTTTTGGGTCGGTTTTTTTCTGAAAGAATGAGATCTGATTCTAGGAAGTATTCTAACCTCTGGCTTTGAGAAATATTGTACTTCTTGTGGTTTGTGTGTAACAATAGATATTATAGACTGGCTCTGAGGAAGGATTTCTGTGCAGAAGGGGCTGTTGGGCGTTGGAATGGGCTGCCCAGGGCAGGGGGGAGTCCCCGGGATCCCTGGAGGGGTTGAAGAGTCGGGCTGAGCCAGCGCTGAGGGGTCTGGGGGAGTTGGGAACGGTCAGGGGGAGGGTCATGGTGGGGCTGGAGGAGCTGCAGGGGCTTTTCCAGCCTGGATGATTCTGGGATTCTGAAACACCTTGATTTGACTGTCAAGGAAAAAATGTGCTGTATGTTTTCTTCTGTAAAGATTCTCCTGCTTGGCTGAGGCCACAACTTGAATGAGGGGGAGCACAAGGCACTGTTAGCAAGGTGTAGCTCAGCGTAGGTCACGGCTGCAGAATTAAAATAAGCCAGTGTGCATGTGAGACTAAGGAGGTTAGGAATTCTCAATCTGGGCGGGATGGCTGAGCAACACCGAGCTTTATTCTCCATTGAGTCTCCCGGTACCGTTCGCAGTCTTAGAATCATTGTCTGTCCCTCGAAGGACAGAGGGGACCTGGTAGCGGAGTTACCAAGTAGCAATTTTAAAACAGAAGGAAGTACTCTTGCACATTCCGAGTTGTAGTGCTCTTGCAGAAGCCGGGAGTGTAAATGAACTCAGAAGGGATTAAGTTCATGGAGGATGTGCAAATTGGCAGCTATTAAACATAACAACCAATGCAGCCTTCAGTTTTAGGAAATCTTTTAAGCTGCTGATTTCTGGAGGCTGAGAAAATATGTAAAGGAAAAGATCTGTTCATTTCCTCTTTTATGTAGCTTTCCTCAAAAAATTTGCTACTGCCCGCTGCTGGAGATAAATTTACAGATAGGTGGCCCTTTGGTTTGACCCACAAAGCAATTAATGCCTCATGACTACATTTTCACATATTTTAAACTATTCCTCTCCGAAGTTACTTCAGAAGAGATGATCAATTTTGTTGCTGTCTGGTTCCAAATTAATTTTTAAAAGCGTGGTGGGTGGCTGTCCTTGCCAGATCACTCCAGGTTGTTCAGCTCCACACAAGAACCCTTCCTCCTTGTTGTTCCACGAACTGCGTGCTGCAGGGCGATCAGAAGCTTGCAAAAGCGCAGCCCTTTCTGAGAGCTTGTGAATGCAGAGGGACGTTTTTGCATAGTCTGGGATTGTATCAGTTTCCCTTTCAGAAAAAAAAAAATCAGCTTATTCGGATAGAAAAATCTTCGGTTGCTATTCTTGCGCTGTTAATTGACAGGAAGACACCAGAGTTGAAATAAATGATCAAGTGTGTACAGAAAGCTGTCAGCGTACTCGCATGGAAACCCACGCCGAGTCTGTAGCCGCTCTGATAATGATGGCGTGGTGGTTATTCTGGGAATCAAAGGAAGTTATTGTTCCTGTTCCCAGTTTGTGTAGCTGAGACTTCAAGGCCTGGGCTAATTTAGATGTATTTTTCTAAAGGGAGAATGGAAGCAAGGACAGCCGAGTTGCAAATACTGACAGGTTACCTAGCTGAAACTTTCAGCTTTTTGTTTGATATTTCTAAAGGCTGTCTCCAGGCTAAGAAATGGAATGGCTGGTTCAGAGCTGTGCCTGATTAACACAACACAGCGTGGTGATTTCAGTGCCCAGATGTTCTTAGAAAGGGTGATGCTGACCCTGAACTCTGGTATCGAGTTATTGATGTAGGAGAATGTTGGAAGAGATGTGATCGTGGTTATCTACATGGGGAGGGGAGGAAGTTTAAGACTTAAATTTATATAAAAGGAAGTTAATTTGTCAGAATTCCTGTTAACTAATGTCATTATTTGTACAGATAAGGTCAAGAGCTAAAATAGAGAAAATCCGAGCCAGTCTATTTAATAGTAGCGATCTCATTGGTTTGTCAAGTCTGGATGGTGAAGATGAACTGATGGAAATGTCAACAGAAGAGATTTTAACTGTTTCTACTGTGAATCAGAGTTTATTTGACACACAAGGGAGCCCAGCGCTAGAAGATTATTTCAATGATAAGTCAATCAAAGGTATGTGGTTTTCATATTAGCATCATATTTCATATTATCTCACTCGTACTGTACATTTTTTGGGGGGTCATGGAGGAGTCAGCTTCTCCTCGCTGGTGTAAATTCAGTGTATCTCCCTAATTGATGGGTGACAATGAGGGGGAGCCAGGGAGTAATTTCAGAGCAAGTTTCCTCCCTCTCATCAGTTGGCAAGCAGCTATTTGCAACCTGAACATTGCTCAGCTGTCTTCACAGCTAGTCAAACAGCAGAAAAAAAAACAAAACAAAACACCACAAACCCCACAAAAAACTCCCCACCAACCCAAAAAACTACAGAGTTATTGAGTGATTTTTTTTTTTTGAGAAAATCACCACTGTAATAATTTACCATCGTTAGACACAGCGTAATTTGAGAGTTGAAGTAGAACAGCTAATAATTTATATTCTCTAACAACACGAAAGCTGTACAGACCCTAATACACTTGAAATGGGCCCGAATCCGGGGTCGGAGGGATAATACTTGGAGGAGGTTCAGTTGACTATTTGGTGTGTACCTACACAACATAGTTTTTACACTGGCGTCATAAACAATCTACTACTTTCATTACCACTGCAGTCACTCTCAAATAATAATTACAATAGCTTGCCAAAATGGGAGAAGGCATTCGATTCTCTCTCATAAACGGGGTACTGGAGTGCAGAAAGGTCTGCTAGTAGAATTTTTCCGAGTGATTTTTCCTCTCTGAGCATGATATGATGTAATATTTTAGCTGAATGTAAAATGTTTTTTCATGGTTCAAATTCAAAACAGGTGTCGTGGTGTATTGTACCGGGTTGCTCTTTTTGTTTTAATTAGGTGAGAAATTGGTCCCAGGTGCTCGGGAAGTTCTCACAGAAATATTTAAAAGCTGTGTCCACTCTGAACAAATGCTGAGCCTAACTCCAGCGAAACCCATTAAGGTTGCAGATATCTATCTTAGCAAAGAGCAGATAAATTCTCAGACTCCTGGAAACCTTCTCCACGTGTTCTTCACAAACGTCCGCCCTCCAAAGAAAGTACTGGAGGACCAGCTTACTCAGGTAGCGCTCTGAAAACTATTTTCAGCATCTTTTTTTGTGTCATTTGGATGCATTTGGGTAATTTTTCACTTTCTGTGTTGGAAGATTTTAAGGAAATACGGTGTGCCCAAGCCGAAATTTGACAAGAGCAAGTACAACAAGGCGGGCAAAGAACAGCACCCAGTGAAAGTTGTGAGCACCAAGCGCCCGGTTACTAAACCACCTACGAAGGAAAAGTCTATGCTCAACAGTGTCAGGTTGGTGTCTTCAGCCTTTTGACAATTGCAAAACATTTGATTACTCTTTAGGATTCCAGATTTTTATTTCTCTTCCCTCTGTATTTCCACGTATGGATTCGGAGGAGGCAAATGCAACTTTGAGATTATAAAAGACCCCTCCCAAGGAATGTTTTGGTTTCTTGAACAGACTATAATAAATAAAATTTAATAAATTTTTTTAAAAGCCCCTTTTTTTTTTATAAAATAAAACTTTTATCCTAACATTTACTTTGTCCCTTAGCCGAACAGCCTTAAGTGAGAAGAAACCTACCGTAAAGCCAAAATCTCCTGAGAAGAGCAAACCTGAAGAGAAGGACCCTGAAAAGTCTCCCACAAAGAAACAGGAAGGTAATAGCTGTATAGAATTTTTCTGTAGTGTTACATTATAGAAAAGAAAGACATTATTTTTGTATTGGCATCCTTATGTGATGTCATCAAAGATTTGTTTTGTCTTTTCAATGAGGCTAACTTTTTTTTTTAAATAGTGATTAAAAAGCTGCTTTTATCTGTCTGTCTGTAAATCTGGACTCATCGACGTAAGTGAGAGCAAACCGTGGTCACGCAGTTCATGCAACGGTGTGCGTAGGCCGTGTGTGTCCGTTGGGCAGAGAACTGGCTTCCTAAGGGGTATAGATAGTTTCTAGGCTTTTTTTTTTTTTTTTTTTTTTTGTGAGATTAGGATAGTGTGGGGTTGAACTATGTGGTTTTAAATGGTGTTTCTCCATTTGTGGCAAAATTAAGTTACAAGAGGAAAATTGGATGAAAGAGCAGCTTCATAACTAGTCTGTCTGTGGAGGGGACAGCACAGCCGTGCCATGATAGGGGTTGGGTCCAGGGATTTGCTTGATATTTCTTTCTCTGGTCTGGTGGAAGAGTGAGTAGACACGAGCTTGGAGTCTGCTCTTCACTGTAGGAGATTCCAGGTTGGCTCAGAAGAGGGGAATTTGTGTTCAGCCAAGGATGGATCCTTGATACCCCGTTAGATACGGTGGTGGAGCGATTCCGGATTTGTGTCCTTGAGAGGAAAGGATGAGTGTCGGTTACTGAAGGCCAGGCTGGACCCGAATAGTGTGTTGGGTAGAACTACTCAAGAAGCGAGCCATGGTGGGATGGGTAGAACCAGGAGAAAGCTGGCAGGTAGCCACCTCGTACACCGACCGTTCTCCTGGGTGCTGTGTAGACTTTATACTAAGTCGTTAATTATATGATGGTCTTATCTCTGCTCAGTTCCTGAGGAGAAGTATTTGACACTGGATGGATTTCACAGATTCGTGGTTGACCGATCTAAACAGGATATCCGTAGTGTGTGGAGAGCTATTCTGTCCTGTGGGTATGATCTACATTTTGAAAGGTACATTTTACAAATCTTTTTGTAAACGTGTTACTGATTAATTATGCTCACTTTAAAAAAACCCCAAAACACCTCGATCCCAAATGTTCCTACACCAAGTAGCTTTAACCAGTGTGTTAGTAACATGCAAACTTGTATCCCTGTAGAGAAAATTGTTGGGTTTTTTTTCTTAAAACGTGCTTTAAAAGTGTCACTCTGCTGTCAAAATGCAGGTTCCTGCATAGCTAACAAGATCATATGCCATGCTGCCCTTGATAGCTTCCAAACTGTGTCATAAATTGGCCCAACAAGAATTATATAGATCCATCTGGCTGTCTCTGGTTTCCTTCCACAACAGCTTTCTCTTCTGAGCACTGGGTAATTGTTTAAACTGGCAGTGTTGTTACTGGGTCAGTAGTAGTGTAGAAGAGGGAACGGTTACTTCCTTGTTAATATTGTAGAAGACAGGCCCTTAAATGAATCTTCATTATCACCTTGTGTCAAGCCACAAGCTAATTGCCACATCTCCTTCCCCTGTAGCCGCTAAGAAGTTAGTGTGGTAAGTGAGCTCAACAGGCAGTTCCTTTTTTTCTTATTATTTAATAACACCGAGGCAAGATTAGGTGATGAATCGGTTGTTATTCTCAAACCAGAATTTTTGTCATGGAACAGCTCTGCTTCAGGAAAGGGGAGAAAAAGTAGAACAAGCTACCTGGTGTTGTGTTCAACGTGCTCTTAGTATGGTTGCACGTAGGTTTCAACAGGTCTCACACCTTTTACCTTTCAGGTGTGCCTGCATCGATGCCCGACATGCTCAGAAAGCCTCTCGGAAATGGACGCTGGAAATGGATGTAGCCCTTGTCCAGTACATTAACAGGCTTTGTCGTCACCTTGCGATTACACCAGCACGACTCCATCCCCATGAAGTTTATCTGGATCCAGCTGATGCAGCAGATCCCAGAATCTCCTGTCTGTTGAGTATGTATAGATCTGTTCACGTGGAGCTTTTCTTCAGTGGAGTGCTCCTGAAGGACCTGGCTGTCACCCAGGCAGTTGGGCCTTTCCTGTGGAGGTGGCAGACTGGAGCCTCCGTGGGCCGAGGGGAACACTGAGCCTCGGTTTTCCTCTCTCCTTGGGTGTGCTTGGGCACTGCTGTGCCTTGGGCACTGTTGTTAGAAATGTGCTGCAACCGTTCTCCCAGCGTGCCTCCTGGGTCAGGCCGGAGCAGGGAGAGTTCTGGGGAGCTTAGCTTGTAGGGGGAAGGAAGGTCAGACTTCAGTTGTGGACCTAGGCAGAGTTTAGTCAACTAAATCCCGTTCTAAGCACTAAGTTCCTTTAAGAGGGTCTCCAGATAATGTAGACTCAGTGATGGTGAAAGATGCTGTGGGCTCAGACACCCAGAAACTCCAGATCCAGGAGGGGTTATCACATCTCACCTCTGCTGTTGTATCTTCAGCCCTCGCGATGGGCAGGGGGCAGGCGGGGCGGCTCTAGAAGGAAGCTCCTGTGGCTCCTGCCCTGAATCTGCCGGGACCGCGGACTTTGCAGCAGGTAGGGAACCTCGTTCTCTCTCTGAGTGGATGTTTCCCACCTCAGATGTTCCCGTTGAAAGTCTCCGCCTACGGTTTGCACTGCTTCAGTCTCTCAATACAACCTTGGAGACGTTCTTCCTGCCTCTGGTGGAGCTCCGGCAGACGGAGATGTACGCGAACAGCATCGCTGCGCTGCTGCAGGAGGCCAAAGGTCGGGTCCTGCGCCGGGGGGACACGCTGCGCCACGCCGAATCCCTTAGTATATTTTGCAGAAGGTTTTAATGCGTGTGGACACTTGACAGAAAGGAGAATGTAGAGGGGAGAGGGACAGCGAGATGAGGAGTGGTTTTAGTGTGCTAACGAAGGCTTATTGGCTCCGTTCTCAGCCCGATAAGCTGGCGCAGGGTCTGAGGTGACGACAAAAAACCAGCATTAACCCAAGGGCGCTTCTCAGTGTGGGGATTTTTTCTTGCTTTGTTTTTTAAAGGCGAGGGGGATTACTCTTGGATGCAGTTAAAAGACTCTCTGCACCTTTGGTGACCATGGAGGGAGTCAGCCCATTGTGGGTGGCCTTCAAATGTGTCTTTATCTTCTTGGGCGTATCCATAGATGAAAAGTCTTTGCTAGTGAACAAGCAACAGATCATGTGAAAGTCCCAGGACATGTTGGCATCCTCGTTGTCATTGACGTTGTAGAATTAGAGAGATCAAGAAAATACTTAACCGTGCATCAGCGTTTAAAATAGTTTTTCCAAGCCTCCGTTAGCATACAAGCCCAAGATTTGGGTCGTTACGTTTCCCAAACGATACAGAATTCACCAAAGGTATCCATGTGTGTAAACAGGCTTTTGTATTGGCCCAGCTAGAAAAAAAACCCCTTGTGATGGCAGTACTGGGGAAGTGAGGAATGTTCAGAGATTTGTCTTTATAGAGCCCACATTTATGATGCGATGTGAGAGCCCTATTTTTTTTTTTATCGTGTTTTCTTGCCTGTAGCATTACTGTCAAAACACCTCAGATTTCTGAAAGCTGTTTGGCAAAGTGTTTGTGATTTACGGAGATTCTGGTGGAGCTGATAGGATCTATTTGTATAACGTGAGAATTGCGTTCATCGGTGTTCTAACCCGACGCACTTCTTCCACTAAACATTAGTAACAAATACTTTTTTTTTTTTTAAATAAAAAAGTGGATTAGCCGTATTTTACCTACCTGATAAAGGTGAAATTATTATTCTGCTGTTGTCCATTAGAGAACTGCAGAAAATAAGGTGGTAGGAGGATGGATTAACTATGCTGAAATGTGCTTGTTTATTTAGGGTTAATCTTTTATGACACAAAAGTAACGGTAATGAACAGAGTGCTGAATGCCACTGTCCAGAGAACTGCTGATCACGCAGCCCCAGAAATCACCCTGGATCCCCTGGAAATCGTTGGAGGTAAGGGAGGCATTTACCCTTCTCAAAATCTATTTTAAGCCACTGCAGCAAGTCAGATCTGTTTTAACCAAGCTCAGATGCTCAGAGGACGGGGATTTTATATTATTTGTTTTCTTTGGTTTTGAAATAGGGGAGATCCGTTCTTCAGAAAATTCCTATTTCTGCCAAGCAGCACGACAGCTCTCCTGCGTGCCCTCCTCGCAGCTCTGTGTTAAACTGGCCAGTGGTGGAGACCCCACGTACGCTTTCAACATCCGCTTCACGGGGGAGGAGGTTCATGGAACCAGTAAGTCGGGCCCACGGAGTTACCGGCGCGGGTGACGGTGGGTGCAGTCGTGACAATTTACTCCAGGTGGAATCCAAGTTCTCACCAGAACGTGGCTCGTGTCAGCCTTCAGGAACAGCGTCACCTTTTGGGGTGTTCATAGTCCTGCAGATGGAAAAGAATTAAGCTTCCCAGAATTAAGCAAGCCAGATGGTTCATTTTCATATTTTAGCTAATACAGGAGGATGTGTCCGTGCCTGGGCATGCAGCTTCCCTAACTAGAGCAAGTAAATAAAGTCATAATAAGCTGTTTGAAGCACAGGGAGAGCATTTAGTAAGGATGTCTCGTCAGGTTGTTTTGATGCTCAGTCTGGGTAAACCCAGTCTGGGTAAACCCAGCCTGTGCTGATGACCAAGACTTTTTAAAGTACTTTCGTGTTAGTAAGGAGCTGGGTAATGCCACTGTGGTTTTAATTGTTAAAGTGATCTGAGATCCTATAGCCAATAAATTAAGGTACCAATAGGTTAATGTCCCCTATATATTTGACACACGTTAAATACTAGTACAGGTTACGTTATCAAACGTGGTTGTCAAGGAGTAAGCAAGTGTTATCAGTTCAAAACAGTCATGCCCTAATGAGGTGGTTCTGAGAGTTGTTTTCTGCTTGGCATCGGAAATACGAATCTGAGCTTGTCCCAGCCAAGCTGAAGAGATGGTCAGTACGATAAGGTTTTGCCGCTTTAAAACCTGTCCTTAATTTTTGCAGTAAATAGTCTTAAAATTGCATCCTCCTCATTTTTTGGCGAGGAGACGTACAATATTTCCTTGTAATTGTTTTAATAATTTTCACGTGAGTGGTTAAAAGAATGAACCACAGAAAGGAAGAAGCATTTAACTGTCCTGACTTCACGCAGGCAGTGCAGAGACAGACTCCTGGTGACATGGGAGCACTGCTTGCCCACAGAAGGTGTTAAGCAATAATCTGACTTTAATAAAGATGATAATGCCTTCTCTTGACGTTATATTTAAATTTGTGAGGGTTCATTCTCTAAGATCTTTGTGCAGATGCTGTCCAGCCCCGTTTGGGTATTGACCCAGTGGGGGTGCTGCCTCCCGTGGCCGCTACATGGGCTCTGTGTCCTCCAGGAAAAGACTTGATTTAACCAAGAGCTGAGGAAAAACTTGCTTTGCAGATCTGTTGAATAATTGATAAGGTTATCAAGGCAAATACCAGCTGTGTGTCGAAGAAGAAAATTGATTGCCGTTATCTAAATTAACGCGGTCTCTGCATATTGATTGCAGTGGGGGTTTTTTTGGAGTTTCATGGGGGTATTGGAGAAGAAAAGCCCCAAACGTGCTTCTCACCAACTGGTGTCACCTATCAAATTGTGTAAAGGAGAATTCTCGCCGGTGTGCACCTATTAGCTGAACAAAGGGCTCCTTGATGCTTGCTCTCAAGGGGAATTCTTCTCTTTTTAAGGTCCGTGGTGGTTATTGACAGTATCTCGAAAGAGATAAATGTTACCTCCACAGCACAGCATCTGTAAGGATTTCTGATGCATCGCCTCGCTGCTTTTAGCTGTGGAAATGCCCCGTCATTGTGAAAGCAGCACCAGTCATCCCCTAATCAAGTAACTAATTCCATTTGCAGGCCAACTGGTGTAGCAAATGTTTGTGCCAGGCTTACGCGCAGAGCGCTGGAAGACAAAGCAGCACTTGGGAATTGAGCAGGAGGCAATTCAGTGAATATTTTTTTGCATGTAATTAAACTATTTCAGTGTGAGCTTGCACGTGAGTAGCGGGCTGGCGTGCCTGGCATCTACCCCGCCCTCATTTAAGCCACGTGTCTGTGCAGTCAGAGAGGTTGGGCCTGTAACCTAAGGCACGAGGCGTGATTTCAGGGAGGGTGGCAGATTCTGGGTTGAAAGGCAGCAGTTACAAGGCTCGGAGGGCATTTCATTATTTTGCCTCTCTCTTTTTTTTTCAGGTGGATCTTTCCGTCACTTTCTCTGGCAAGTTTGTAAAGAGTTACAGAGCTCCTCGCTCTCCCTTCTCCTGTTGTGCCCGAGCTCTGCGGTCAATAAGAACAAGGTGTGATATCTCAATGCAAGAAATTGAAGTTGCTTTTCTCTTTTTTGAATGCGTGTGTTTGACCGGGAGCAGAACGCACTCGGTGACACAGGGAGTGGCTTCAGATCAACAGTCCCTGCCTGTGGACCGGAGCAGCTCGGCCCCGGGTGCCGACAGGACTGACAGTGGCTGTTGGTGAACCCCCAGTGGCACTTCCAGGGGTGCTGCGGGTACCTCAAGTAGCCAAGGGGTCAAAGCTGCAGAACGTAGCAGGATTAAAACTCCCGGTCGAAGGTCACTTTGAGTGAATCTGGTTCACTTGTCTGATTTAGGGATTGTCCATCCCAAAGTAGTGAAGTCATTCTGCTGGTATTTCTCCAGGAATGTCACCAGTCACGTTGCTGGTAGAATAAAACGCTCCATCCGCGCTATTTAGTGTCCTCCTGGTTTGTGCAGTAGATGTATTGTAGAAACAAGATAAAGCTTATGGCCCAAAGAATTGACGGTGGTTGAGGGATAGTTCCTTCCTAGGAATACGAACAGGGTAGGGAAACAGGTCATTTCCCTCAGCCTAAGACCAGCTATGTCACAAACCTGGCCTTGCACGTCCAGGCTGTATTCCAGAAACACGCCACAGCTGGAGGGCTCGGATATCAAACTGATAATGCAAACGCAGCGGAGTCCTGCGAGTGCAGAGTAGCAGAGCTGGTAAAAGCAGGGCTCTCCGGGAAACCAGCTTTCTGGTGTCGCTTTGGAGGATGGACTGATAAGATGATGGGATGTAATATCTCTGTACAATATACAGACTCCAGACCACGCTTGAGCGATCCTGTTGTGGCCAGCTAACCAGTAGCCACCGCGTTCGAATCGATGTTGTCACGAGCCTCTTAACTTGCAGACCCGCAGGGTGTGCATCGGTCGTTCGCTCCTGGTCTGTGTGCTCCCCTCTGTGTTTGTTTTTTTTTTCTCTCAAGGGGAAGTACATTCTGACTCCTAGCCCTATAACCTACGCTGAGGAGCAGCTCTTCCACTTCTTCGGGCAGCTCTTGGGTATCGCGATTCGGGCGGATGTTCCTCTGCCGCTCGACCTCCTGCCCTCCTTCTGGAAGACCCTGGTGGGGGAGCCGCTGGATCCCGACCTTGACCTCCAGGAAGCTGACATCCTCACCTACAACTACGTCAAAAAATTTGAAAATGTAAGTCACTTTTTTTTTTTATTTTCCCTCTTTTTTTTTTTTTCTTTGTTTCCAGGGTTTCCCCCACAGGCTAGCGGATGTTTTTCACGTGAGCAGAGCCATGAAGTGCTTTAACTCGAGTGCAGTATTTTACATCCTGATGGCTTGGAAAAGCTGCTCAGTCTCCTCTGCTGCCAGGCCCAGTGGAATTAAAACTTCTGAAATGTTTGCTGGAGCTTGGCAGGGCTAGACCAGAAAATAACCCACCAAAGCAGTTACTGGGTTTCACTGTCCGTCATGGCTCCAGAGGACAGAGCGAGTGCTTTGTGCCTCAGGGTGACACCTTCAGTGAGTTGCAAGAGTAAGGGGGTGTGACGTTGCCAGTCAGAGAGGGACCTGGGGGTTGATTGACAGCCGGCTGAACAGGAGCCAGCAGTGTGCCCAGGTGGCCAAGGAGGCCAATGGCATCCTGGCTTGTACCAGCCCTGGCGTGGCCAGCAGGGACAGGGAAGGGATCTGAGCCCTGGGCTCGGCACTGGGGAGGCCGCCCCTCGCTGAGGGGGTTCAGTGTTGGGCCCCTCACCCCAAAAAGGCCATTGAGTGACTCGAGCGTGGCCAGAGAAGGGCAACGGAGCTGGGGCAGGGTCTGGAGCACAGGTCTGCTGGGGAGCAGCTGGGGGAACTGGGGGGGTTCAGTCTGGAGCAGAGGAGGCTGAGGGGAGACCTCCTGGCCCTCGGCAACTCCCTGCCAGGAGGGGGCAGAGAGGGGGGATGAGTCTCTGGAGCCAAGGCCCCAGCGCCAGGCCCCGAGGGAATGGCCTCAAGCTGCCCAGGGCAGGGTCAGGCTGGCTCTGAGGAAGGATTTCTGTGCAGAAGGGGCTGTTGGGCGTTGGAATGGGCTGCCCAGGGCAGGGGGGAGTCCCCGGGATCCCTGGGGGGGTTGAAGAGTCGGGCTGAGCCAGCGCTGAGGGATCTGGGGGAGTTGGGAACGGTCAGGGGGAGGGTCATGGTGGGGCTGGAGGAGCTGCAGGGGCTTTTCCAACCCGGATGATTCTGGGATTCTGTGGACTTCTGGTCCTAAATCCTTTCATTTCATTTCCCCAAGAATTAGGCCATAGAGAGAACTGTTTCCTCATGCCCGAAGTTGTAGAATACGCTCGGCCATGGGTGTTAGTCCTGAACTGCCCCCGTCCTGCCCCGTGCCCGAGGCGCACGGCAGCGGAGACGTTACAGAAGCCGATGGGCTGAGAAGATACAAACCCACGTGTATTAACGCCCTCCCGTGGGCGGATTTGATAATGATTCTGCAAAAGGAGAGTCTGGGGGGGCGTGTGGGGACCCTTCCAGCCTCTTACGGCGGAAGCGGCCACGGTGCCTCCTCCTGCCCCTCCCCAGGCACACACCATGTACCAGGTGGGCTTGATGGAGACCGACCAGCACATCGAGTTCTTCTGGAGCGCGCTGGAGATGTTCACGCAGGAGGAGCTCTGCAAGTTCATCAAGTTCGCCTGTAACCAGGAGCGGATCCCCTTCACCTGCCCCTGCAAGGACGGGGGCCCCGACACGGCCCACGTCCCTCCGTACCCCATGAAAATAGCCCCCCCCGATGGGGCCGCAGGTCTGTTCACCCTTTTAAGGCAAAATCAGTTCTGGCGCTGTCGTTCTAGCTGGCAGTTCTCTTTGTTTTAATTTAAACTTGTGTTTTGTGCACAAAGAATGACGAGAGGCAGGTAGTTAGGGCTGTAAATAAGAGAACTTGTTTTTAAACCATGTCAAAAATCGGAATTATCTGCTTAAAACGTTGCTCTCTAGAGACAAGAAGAGCGTTTGTGTAATATTTGTGTCATACGCTTTTCAAATGATGGGAAAGTCATTCGATTTTCCAGCTATCAGAAAAATCAAAGTAAAAGGAAGTGTCTTAAGTTTAACTTCTGTATGTTGCAAAATCCGTTCTGGGCTCGTTTTGAAACACCACATCAGGGGAAAAAAAAAAAAAAAAAGCTTTTGGCTATCAGAAAAATATTGGCCTGAGGACTGAGGGAGCAGCAGTGCAGGATTTAAGGTTCGAGAGACACAGGACAGGCAGGAAATTATTTTTTTTTTTCCTTCTTCTTCAGCAGGGGAGGGATCCTTTGGGAGAAGGAGGCAAAACGCAGCAGGCATGTTCAAACCCTTCTGGTGCTTTTTTTTTTTTCCCCCTGCAGGCTCCCCCGACTCTCGGTACATCCGTGTGGAAACGTGCATGTTCATGATCAAGCTGCCGCAGTACTCCTCGCTGGACATCATGCTGGAGAAGCTGCGCTACGCCATCCACTACCGGGAGGATCCGCTCAGCGGCTGAGGGGGGCGCCTCGAGGTGACTCTGGATTGTTTGGTGACTCCGCTGACATTGGAAACCCTTCAGTTCACGTAAAAATACCTCCTGTAACACTGTGTGAGGAGCTGGAGGTTAATTTATTTTCTGAACTTTTGTTCCCGTTACAATAATTACTGGAAGACTTACATTTTGTATTTGTAGACTTTGTGGTGGACTGGTTATTTTGCTGCCTTGTTTGTGGAATATTTGTAGGATAGTTTAGTAAAGACCAGTTTGTGTATAATTTAATTTTGAAAAAACCTTTCAACATGTACATTTCTAATTTTGTAACTGAGAGCGATACGACCCACGCAAACACAACAAACGTGAGGGCGTGCTGAGTGCGGGAGCACTCGGAGGCGAAGCCTCGTAGCTCGCTCTCCCCTGAAAACATTTTTGAGTACAAAAATGGAAAGAATTGGGTGCGGGGAGGGAATCGCCGCAGGAACGGAGCGCGGTGCCTCCTGTCGCAGGCGGAGATCTTGCAGGATTTCTAGCACTTGCTTTGAGTTCTTAGAGCAGAAAGCGTGCTGCCAGCCTGTGTGGTCACGTCTCCACCATTTTCTTTTAACTTTTTAAACTCTGAGCAAGCACACGGGTCGCTGCCGCAGTTAATCTGGGCGTTCGGCTCGACACTTTTCACTCTTTGATTAGGAAGATCTGTAATTGCAAGAACAGTGAAAGGGCTGTAATTCAGTTGGGTTCTTGCCCCAGATGTTCTTGAATGTTTGCTTGGCTTCGTAACAGAATAATTTATTGTAATTAAAATATTAGCAGAAACAAAACAGCTTCTCTCTGTATGGTGCAAGATACCACAGTTCAAGCTTCTAATCTGTCACTTTATCCTATTTCCGAACAAGCTTTCAGAATAATCAGTGCGTTGTTCGACACCCGTAACGCATTTCTGTACTCAAAAATGATCTTTGATCTAAGAGCAAACGATCCTAGAAAGGAGGATGAGGTTTGGGGAAGGCACAAAGTGACGCGGATGAAGACAAAGCTTCTATTTTCTACGGGAATAGCGGACTAGGGAGAGCGAACAAATCTCTGAAGTTTCACTTCTCTCTGTTGTGAAATCCGTTCTGGGGTGGTTTCCAATCACCACATCAACACCCGGATCTTCCTTTACTCCTCTAAAAGCGGTTGCCCTGTGCCAGGAGCCTGTCGGAGTCACGGGCGTTGCTTTGTCGATCCCTTAGAACCCGCCGGAGCCCCGGGAAGGGCAAGGAGACCCCGAGGGGGCGGCCGGGGCGGGGGGCCGTTCCCCCACTGGGGTGTAACTGTGCTGCGGGGTTGGTGTTGTGTGTCTCTTTAGAAGACAACGTCCACTCATCGGGCTGGTCGGTGGTGATGGGTGTTGAAAAAGCTGTATTTATTGTATATTATTGTGAATATTGGGAACGGTGAGTGTGTGGTACGTGGAAGATAAGGTGTGAGTAAGAGAAAAACCTAACCACGTGTGTATATTCTTGTTGTTCTGTGAGCGAATGGAGAAACGTGTGCGCAGCCGCGGTCGAGGTGGTTGTTGGCGTCCCGAGCGCCCGCAGCCCGGGGCTGGGAAAGCTCTTCCCCCTCTGTTGCGCCCGCAGGAACAGCCCCCCAGCAGAAGATTATTTCCTCTCGAATTTTGTCCGTTTCCTGGTAGAAGCGTAGATGTAGCTCAGAAACCGGCGGAAGCGCAAACGTGTGGAGTTTGCCCAGAGCAGGGTGGGGAGGAGGGGAAAAAAAAAACAGAGAAAAAAAAAAAAACAACACAAAACCAACCCGGGTTGGGCCCCTCGGTGCCACACAGGACCTCCCCTGGTTTTCATGTGGCTGCTGAAGGTGACACGCTGGGGGCTGGTGTTGGGGTGTAAATCGCTCGTTTTTGGGGCCCGTAAGGCTTCGGGTGGACTCACGGGGCTGGAGAAGTCGCTGTGCCAACGGCTGCCAGGGCTGTTGATCGCCGCTGCGAGGCCGAAACTGCTGCTGCTGCCTGTCTGCTCCTGCCAGAGCCCCCCGGAGCGGAGCCTGCCTGCGGCCTGGCCCCGACACGTCTGCTGTAAAGTGACTTGATACATATTTATTACGAATAATTATTTATGATTACAGATAACAAACTTCTAGTCGATGCTGTTTACACCTCGCTGTGTAAATGAAGCTTCTTCTACAGGAGAAATGTCACACCAGTAAACAACCTTCATCAACTTTGGGGTTTTTTTTCTGAGGAATGAAGAAATGAGTTGGGGGAGAGGGGTGGGGCTTTTTTTTTCTACATGACTAGGAAGGAAGCGCTGCAGTGGTTCCACTGTAGCTCAAATGGCCTTTTAATTAAAAGCTTTTCTAATCATCATTACTTCCTTGTGCTTTAAATGAACTTGACATTGTCTGTACTAGCCTTGTTTGTCCAAGCAAAGATCGGTTTGTGATTTTATTTTTTTTTAAATATATATTCATTCAGAATGTAAAATTATACTAAACGATGGAAGAAAAAAAAAAAAAAAAAACACAAAAAACAAACCACAAACAAACAAACCAAACCTCTGGAGCTGGGTCTTAGTTCTAGCGCGGTGTGTGTCCCCTCGGTTCCCGCACAGCAGTACCCTGTGACGTGCTCTTGGCCATGGCGTGTGCACTTGCATAAAGGAGATTCTCACCCTCCCCTCGCCTGTGTCGTGTCCTTCTTTGGGGCTGAAAAGGCAGAGATTGGTCCTCCCCGGGGGGAAGCTGTGTGCCTGGGAGGCGTTGATACACTGGCAGTTGTAGTTACTTAGACCAGAACTGTAAATGGTTTGTATAGGAGGGAAAGCAAGAACAGGAGGGCGGGTATTTCGCTGGGGGAAGTGCAGCATTTCTTGGCCCTGAGGGGTGGTGCAGCCTCAGCCCCGTTCCCTGCGCTGTAGTTTAATTTTCACACTAATGATTTCTGCACCTTTATCTCTCACCTGAGGAGGCAGCTTAGAATCCTGTCTCCTACCCGAGCCTCAGCAAAGGCTGGCTGCCACCTCTTTTCAAATACCTTTTTTCTGCTTTTCTTCTACAAATAAACCCGTAAAATGTCTTTATTTTGGAAACAGGCCCCTTCTCCTTCAGAACAGGGGCAGGCTCATTAACCCTGCTAATGCCATCTGCTGGACCCAGCTAATTAGGGTGAGGCCCAGTCATTATCTCAGCCCTGCCTGCTCCAGCTTGTGCTTTACCATTTCCCAGAGCCCAAGGGCTGCAAATTAACAAAGACCTAGTGGAGGTAATTAATACCAGTGGAACACAAATTACCAGATCCCCCTGCCCGCAGTTATGCCCTTGTGCTCCCACCTTGCTTCAGAAAACAGATTTTTACTGCTCAATGTTCTGGGACAGCACTAAATAAATTTTATTACAAGGAATTTAAAAAGCACAGGCTAATCCAGCGTTAAAACAGCGTTTGACAGGCAGCCAGGGGCTCAGAGCTCATCCCCTTCTCCCCGCATCGGCCTGGCCAGCGGGGTCTGGTTTTCACCTGGTGGTGCTGAGAGCGAGGGAAGAGCCCAGGACACGCTGCAGGCTCCGCAGGGCTGAAATTCTGTCACTTGGTGTCACAAAGAGCCCCTACGGGCACAGAACCCAGGTGCTTCCCGAGAGCAAGGGGGAGCTGCTGCCTTGGGCTGGTGCTAGGATCCAGCACGGAAGTTAAAATCTGTAGTATACTCTCACAAATTAAAAATACATTATATATATATAGAAAAGGATCACTGCTTGTAAAAATTTAAATTCATAGAAAGTCTTCAATGATGCGGCAATACAGGAATTCGCTTGTGCTCAGATAAATAAGTACTACAGGGTGTAGCTAGAGTGCGGAGAGCGCTAAACGTGGATTTCCTCAGCGGTGGGTCACTCCTCCTCTGCCTCTCTGGCCGCTGGGTTCTGGGCTTTTGCCTCAAGGGGGATATAAAAGAAAAAGTAAAAATGCTGTTTTCAAAGCGTACTTGATAAGAAGTAATTAATAAAAACCTGGCTGCAGGTCCTGGGGGTCCCAGCCCTCCTCCCGCGCTGCCTCACCTGCGCGCCCCCGCGCCTGCAGCCCACGGCGCCGGTCCCGAGGCGCCTTCCTCCTGCTTGGCTGGGGCTGGAGAGGGAGAGGAGGGAGACAGTCAGAGGAAGGGAGCCTGCCCCAGCCACGCTCTGCCCCGGGGAAGAGCCCTTCGTGCTCCTGAGCCCGTTACTCAGGTAGTGGAAGAATCAGATTTTATCCAAAGAGCGAAGGCAACAGCTCAGCTGAGCGCACAACTCCGGCCAGAGAACGAGGCCTTGTCCTACGTTTTGTCCCAGCGACCATTTTGTCTGCTCTGGTTTGATAGAAAAGCCACAGTTGGCCCTTTGAAACTGGCCCCAGCACAATTCAGCCAACTGAAACCTTATGAGGGACCCCCACACTCACGCCACGAGAAGAGGCAGAAGATATGTCACTGTTGGGGACGTCAGAATGCACCCGGCCCAAGGCCTCACCCTGCTTTCACTTTTCAACTTCTGGCACAAGAGAACAGTTCTCTTTATGTCTTAATTCTTGGGGAAATGAAATGAAAGGATTTAGGACCAGAAGTTCACAGAATCCCAGAATCACCTCAGTTGGAAAAGCCCTTGCAGCTCCTCCAGCCCCACCATGAGCCTCCCCCTGACCGTTCCCAACTCCCCCAGATCCCTCAGCGCTGGCTCAGCCCGACTCTTCAACCCCCCCAGGGATCCCGGGGACTCCCCCCTGCCCTGGGCAGCCCATTCCAACGCCCAACAGCCCCTTCTGCACAGAAATCCTTCCTCAGAGCCAGCCTGACCCTGCCCTGGGCAGCTTGAGGCCATTCCCTCGGGGCCTGGCGCTGGGGCCTTGGCTCCAGAGACTCATCCCCCCTCTCTGCCCCCTCCTGGCAGGGAGTTGCCGAGGGCCAGGAGGTCTCCCCTCAGCCTCCTCTTCTCCAGACTGAACCCCCCCAGTTCCCCCAGCCGCTCCCCAGCAGACCTGTGCTCCAGACCCTGCCCCAGCTCTGTTGCCCTTCTCTGGCCACGCTCAACAACAGAGTAACAACATCTCTTTGGCTGGGTACACACAGCGTGTTCCTGCAAACAAAGAAGAGCATGCCTAAGGCCGTGCTTTGCCCACACCTTGGTGTCTGGTCCGTCTCCGAGCCGGCTCTGGCGATTCTCTTCTCTCACTGTTGGCTGGAGGTGGCAAGGGAAAGGCAGCAGCAGGGCTGGCCGGGCGCAGATCGCAGTGGTGCTACAGCAAAACACACATTTGGCTGCTGAAACCACAGCTCCTTCGGATTTATTCCTGTAAAAACACTGCAGAGCATCGCCCCTCGGCACGATGAAGGTTAGCAGGGGACTGTTTTGCAGAAGAGGCAGGTATCACCTGAGGGATAATCACTGGCTGCCACAGGACCTAACAGAAATGGAACTGTGTTGGGGGCCTCCCTGCCAGCCCGCAGCCCTGTGCTGCCTTACCCAGTCTCCTGCCTCTCACGCCTAAGAAGGGCCCTGCAAAGCCAGGCCCAAGCTGGGGGACAGCAGACCTGAAGTGCTGTCACTATAGTTCCAATCAAGTTCCCGATATCAACCTGGTATCAGCGTCCTCATAAAAACCAAATCCAGCAACAAAAATTAAGTTAAAAGTGATTTCCAAGTCACGCTGCCCACAGGAGTGCCCCTGCTGGCTATCCTGGCTATAAACCCATGTTTTTCCACAGGTTGATGACAGCAAGAACAAAACAAGACAGACAGAAACACAGAGGACACCAAACAGAAATAGGATCTAGAAAGGAAAGTATTTGTTACATTTGTGAGATATCAGGAATACAACGTGGAACACAAAGCTTTAAACACAGGGTGTCCTTCCCATGGTGTGCAAACAAACAGTATTGTTGCAACTCAGCTCCCGTCACTAATTCTTAACAAGTCCTGATTATCATATGCAAACTTCACCAAAAATAGTAGAAGTTGGTAGATAAAGCAGTCTCTGCATTCTGTATTTCCAAAACAGATAGGGTGAGGGGGAAAAAAAAAAAAAAAGTCTTCCACCAGCTAACTGGAATAGGAAGTGGATGGGACTGTTTAGCAGAGGGTAAGCTATGAAATTGTATCACATCTCATTTCTATTAATATTGATTTTACTGTCACCTGGAGAGAAAAGGCCCAGAAACACAAAATACAGCTTTGCTGGTTTGTTAGCTAGGACTAAGACTGGGAAAGAACCATGAAACAGAAAATGAGCAAGCTCAGCATTTCCCTAACTTGCCTATTAGAGCAGCCCAGTCCAGAGTGGGCAGATAGCAGCTGGAGCAGATCTGGGGACATGTCAGCACATCTACCTGGTGCTACGTGTACCTGGTGGTGCAGCCACTCCCCAAATCTGCCCAGCACTCCTCAAAAGTGACAACAGCTTCAGCAGTACCAAGACCTGGTGTTCTTCCCACCCGAGAAACATCCCCCAGCAACGTACAGAAGAACTGAACACCCCAGTGAGCACTCCGCAGCGCCCACCATTTCATAAACCCACCACGTCTCCCTTAGGCCGAGCTTCTGGTATAGCCACGCCCTTAACCTTTCTCTGTCTCTACGCCTACCCTCTGAGACATTCCTCCACCCTCTAGACTCATAGTCTGCTCTCTGCTTCCTCTCTCTCAGTTTTACGCTTGTGCTCCTCTCCAACCTTAGCTGTGATTCACACATCCTGGTTTCAACACCGCCTTTAAGTGCAAGTCAAACAGTATCTTGGTGCAATTTCAGGGCCTTTTGTTTCGTTTTTGTTACAAGAGCTTTCCAGATAATTGTTATTTTTCAGTAAGAGCCTCGGCATAGCACAACGAGATGGGACCCAAGAGGCCCAGGAAGTGAGGAAGACCTGACATAGGGGACAGTTACTTGAATTCCTGAAACATGCCACAGCAAGAGGCCGTGGGACTTGGCACATTTCTTAAACAAGTGGATGCGATACAGCAGATCAAGTTCTGGTTAGTACCTGGTGATGAAAGAGCATCTCCTCTTCTAGCTGGATACCACAAAATTCACATGGAAACATCATGTTTCCTTTTGCCCGGACAGCTTGGGGCTGGGATGAAAAGAGAGACCTTCGGTTTTTGGACCCAAGAGCACGCAGGCCATCATATTCTCGCAGGTTTGGGGAAGAACTCCTTTTACTGAACGAGGCAAAGGCACTTGCTGGGTTACAACCTGTCTGTTACACAAGCAACACGAAAAAGTTAGCTCTCCTGTTGAGCGAAGATGGACTTTCAACACCACACAAAGACCAAATTGCTAGAGTTCTCTCGGTACTGCCGAGTGACGACTGCACCCTTTTCCAGTTGCAGTCACAGAAAAAAAGGGCCTTACTGCAACCCCTTAGATACACCACCAGAAAGTACTACACCTGGTGAAGAATCAGATCCTCGGCAGGGTAGAGCTCCTCGCAAAATTCACACGGCAGCATGATGACCTCATCGCCTGCAAAGTACGTAACGGTTATATCCTCTACCACAGAGGAGCCCGAGGCAGTCGGACCGACTTGCCTTCAGAATCCCTGCAGAACAGGCTCCTGTTCCCCAGCAAGCGCTCAGGAAACACTTACTCGAGTCCCACTCGCCGAATTTCACATCAGAAATTCACGGCACCCAGAGCGAGAACAATGTCTTGGGGTCAAAGATACATCCAACGGTAAAGAAGCCTGTTACTGCCTTCAGTAAATCCCTTAGTACCATTTCTCCTTTCAAAATAAGCCGGCACGCCAGGTCTCCCCCGGATCCTCCCTTCCTACCATGTTTACTCTGACAGGAGAGCTGTCACATACCCAGTTGTTGTGAAGCTCTCGCTGCATATCAAGGTCAGACATTCGCTGTTGCTTTTATTTCTTCTTCCCTTTTTGTCGTGCTTTAGCAATATCTCTTCTAAAGAAACTACTTTAAACACTAATATTGCTAAGTTTTGAGGGAGCAGAAGATGAAATTTAAGAAAGGAGGGAAGAATGGTACTCATGGAGAGTCTAATCTCCTAACTGCCTAAAAATGATGTAGAGGGAGTCTCAAAGAGACCCACTTTGACATTTTAAAATACCTAGATAATCTCTTGACAGTCCCAATCCAAGAATCCTCTCTTTCCTTCTCCCTTCCCCTCAAACATTAAGGAAAAAAACACCACCATGACAGCGTTTATACTTACTTTTTATGTGGTTTGATGTGCTAAAAGACACTATAGAGTCACAGGAGAAGATACTCGACTCATCTGTTTCATTAAGATGGGCAGATGGCACAGACCCTTTGGTGTAGTAGTTTTCCCAGGAGTCGCTGGGAATTTCAGCTGCAGTATTACTGTGAGGATTATTCTCATTTTGTAGGCTAAGAGCCAACACGTAGTCTAGATCGGCGTTCCACTCTTCATAAAGCGAAGAATGAGTGTTTTCGTTTTTCTCCAGCTGCTCCAGTTCACCCTCTTCAAAAGATAAATATCATAAATTCGAGAGAATGTTAAGGCTACAACTAGCAGTTCCCTTCTGGCCATGACACTAGCTCAGCCGTGAGGGTTTCACACGCGGACACTCACGGAGTTCAGAGTTTCAAAGCCTAGAGGGACACCTGTATCAAATTCGGGAGGAAGAAGGAAAACATCACCTTACTTTTGTTTGTAAGAAGCAAAAAAGGAGAAAAAGAAGGAGGTCGTTCCTCTTATGTGAACAAGGTCCAAGTAATATACTGTAGTCTTGCCCTTTTTACAAGGCTGAAACCCTTCAGCTTTGTTTTTTCAGCATATCAATGGGAAAACATTGACAACAGTGGGAACTATACATGTCCAGAAGAAAACCATGAAATGTTTTCTGGTGGGAAAGCTACACCGAAAAGAAAACCAGGGTTTGGGAACAGGGCCCAAGACAACTGATGATGCCTGAAGACAGGCTAAGTGCTCCTCACCAATGCTGGCTGTTTCAAATCTCTCTGGTATTCCATTTGTACCGATCACACGGGAGTTTTAAACAAAGCTTACACGTGCATAAAAACACTACTTGTGAGTACTCTCTGGAAGTTAGTATAAGTGTCCTACAAATTACAGCTCTCCAGGTTATTCAGTTTTATTAACTAAGCCCAGAAGTTATTTCTATAAGCTGGGCAGCCTTCTACAGTAAAGACTGTACTTTAGTAGTCTGCAGTGTTAACTCCTCTGAGCAGCCCAGGGCATAAAGCAGAGCAGAGATTCAGCTGAGAGCCCACGGCAAGGCCATGTCTTAAGGGTGATGTGATCCCTGCACGTGAAGGTGAGAGATTAGAGCCTTGGGAAAGAGCAGAGGCGTTGGTAATAGTCTCAGCTATGTCCAAACAGAATGGCACTGAAGAAACGTGCAGCACTACGTAGGTGAACCCACATCCAGACCTTATCTACCCTTCCGTGTGACTGAAGAGGAGTGCAGCTGCTCCACAAAACCAGACAGAATCTGCAGCAAGCAAACAACTCCAATTGCACGTTTCACCTAGACAGTTTGAGACAAAAGGACAGGCAGTGGACTGGGCTTTCACACCAGGTACCTCAGCAGCCCTCTGCTTAGCTGGCTGACACCTTCACTGTTCTGTTCCACAGTAGAACAGCCCTACTCACAGCACCTCTGGAGCTTCCATTATTCAGTATTTTCACATTACAAAACCTTATACTTGGATTCGCTGCCAAATTAGAAGCCAATTATTGCTCTTCTCTACCCCATACCTCACTTTTGATTTCTTTGTACTGCTGGAACATTTCTTCTGCTGATGCCCTGAAGGGTTTTGTCTCCTATACAGCTGCTACAAATCTGCTTTTCTAGCACACTGGGCACCCTGCACAAAGGCCCAGCGTAGTTACCTGATCTTAGCCGGTTTCTGATGGCTCGAAGGAAGTGCAAATCTGCCGCCTCCTCCTCCTCCTCCAAGCGAGGCACCGTTCTGCTTCCTCTTTCTTGTTTCTCCTCTCGCCCACAGACCCAAGGATGCTCCTTCAGATCTTTCAGCATGATGTTACGAGCGCAGCCAGCACACAGCTCGGTCCTTGCTCCGCAGTAGAGTTCGTGCTCCTGGAGTTTGTTGAAAGTAAGCTGTATGTCACAGTACTGGCAGAGGGCAGGACGCAGAGGGCACGCTGACGCCTGGAAAAAGAAAGAGGGATTATTCTTCACATATGGAAGACTGAGGCAAAAGCGGAGGGAGGTTCTCAGTTTCCTTAAGAGCTGAGCGGTCTATTGTTTCTTTAGCCAGATCCAAAGCTACGCTAAAGAATAGCCTGGAATAAGATACCGCATGAGAAATGAAAGAATAACGTGTTGTATAACCTCTGCAGTCATAAACATGCCAGCTGGAGCACTCCGAATGCTCAGAACAGGTTTGTTTTTTTTTTTAAATCTGTAACGCTTGGAGAGCAGATCCACATAGTGCTTTTTGAAATTAGCTTTTAGATACAGCCTTGCAATCCAGTACTAATCACATTTCATTGAGTGCTGCTAAAAAACACCTTAGTGTGTGTACTGTTAGGGAACAGATTAACAGCTCATTTACTACTCAACAAGAATTGCTTGCAAATGTTCTTTACACTACATCAAGTGACCGGTAAATTGCCCTTCAAAAGGGATTAAGCACAGATGAAACACTTTATAATTGCAGATGCTTCAAAAATACATCATCATTTGCTTTATAAACAAAACTAAAGGCACTACACACAAGCCTGCAGGATAAACTTCTTCCAGGGTTCTGAACTGGACTTATCTTCAAAGAAAATTCCTCTTTTCCTCAGCAATAAGCAGACTTAGGTGGCACTTCCCGAGCTGACTTTAAATGAGCCCATAGGAAAGGAAGGTACTGACATGTGTAACAAGGTTGCCTGTGACAGCAGCCAACTGGATTCAGAAACTCAGAAAACCCCACTGTGTCCTATTTTAGGTTTTTTTACAAGCTCTTTCAGAAGTCTGTTTGGAGATAATGAGTTATTAAAACTCACACAATGACTGCAGCAGAGTCAGGAATGCGTAATGTTAAAGGGATGAAAAAAGTCAAGTTAATCATATTTTGAAATCCCGTGCCATTTTCCATCTTAATCACTAATAAGGACAAAGTCACCAATTATCACGGATACCCCTTTGATACGAAGACTTGAGCAGGCTCCACCGCTTTAAGGCAGTTTCCAACCACCTCCTCTCAGAGGGTGTGAATTTAAGCAAGCACGGTTCAATAAAAAGGATGCATGAATCACAGGCTGGAATCCAGGTCTTGGCTGACAGAAAGGCTCTAGAATCAGTGTCTGGAAATACTGTAGAGTATCTTCCAAGTGTCTAATAATATCAAGTCCACCAACCTCATGATCCTTCAAGAGACTGTTTTCCATCTTCATCCTACACTTGCAGGTAACCTACAATAAACAGACCTCGTTAGATTAATTGCCATAGAAATCAGGACATTTAGAGGAATTTGTTTCTCACCTGCACATGTTCGGACTCAATATGGTTCTTCATTTCAGACTTTGGGATTGATTCACTGCAGTAGCGGCATACTTCAATATTTCTGCTGCAGTGGATTTCGTGAATGATGAAATTAGCAGCAGGAATATCCTTTTTGCTATGAGAAAGTCAAAGGTTACTTTGCAGAAAATACACTAACAACAATTTCAAGCACTTCTCCATAACAAACAAAGTCCTAAGAAAGCTTTCTATGAATTCGTGGTTTAGAGAACTGAGTAAGTAAAGAAAAGCAAGCCCGACCAAGCCTCAGTGTTCCTTTACAGGGAGGATATTAACATATAGAGCATGCAAAAGTCACAATTTTCACACCGCATTAAGATAAAATCAAGGCGGATTTATTTCCTTATGAGAAAAACAAATTTTTAAGGATAAGCAAGTTATCACCAGGTTCAAGTTTAGTTTTAATCTGAGAAGATAAGTTTCTTCCTGAAAATAACTTGGCTATGAGAGGTTGAACAGCTCTCTGCTTGGAAAAAATAAGTAACACATCCTGTTAGGCCAGATCTGCTCAAGGAATGATAGCAGTAACCATATTACTCTGTAGCCAAAATTCCGCAACTCACCTCATTTCTAAGAGACTCATTTTCCTATCTTGAGGAGAATGCAAGGATTACAAACACTAAAGGTCCAAAAAGAACTGAGGCACTAGGAGCTTAGCTCTTATTCCTGCCTCAAGCAGGTAACATCATTTCTAGATGGACGCATCCTCCCTCCCCCCATGAAATCAGCCTTCAAAACACCAAAATTAACTTTTTAACCTATTGCTTAGCGCCCTCCGTGTCACAAAGGCAGAACAATCACTACAGCTGTTCAGTTTTCTCCCTTGCCGGACCCCAAGCAGCGAACAGCCTGGCAAAGCAACAAAGTCCAGCAGCAGTGTCTGAACTGCACACGCCCGCTGCTTGCAAACAAACCAGCCTGATGTTGCAAGAAACTGTTTGGATTCTCATGTCTCTTTGAGAAGAAACAAAAAAAAAAACAAAACCAAACTTAATTTCTGTAGTTGCTTGTATTCAAGGTGCAATTTTTGAGATGGCTTCATTATTGGTAACTGTATTACTAACAACCGGAGCTTCTGAAGGAGGAGAGCTGTTAGCAAAGAGAAATAAACGCTGCAACAATAGGCGTCTATTGATTCTATTTTTACATCTCTGCTTCTGAGCCACTTGGCTGCTAAAGAAAAACTTGAATTCACGTGCTTCACGCGCTCCTCACTGAAAATCGAGTCTTTATTTCTAGTTGAACGCTCTGGTTTCTATCTAGTTGCCTGTTCGGTGAGAAACTTGGGTAAAGGCTGGGAAAATCGTAAGATGTTACCGCTTAAGGTAAAAAACAAAGCCCAAACGGGTGGGTTTTTTTAAATAAATATTAAGTTCATTATTAATTTGCACCTTTTAGGATGTCAGAGCATTTCAAGGGAATAGAGTGCGTGCTAACCCGCCCAGCCGGCCTGCCCGAAGGCCGGGCGCCCCCCCCGCAGCCGAGCGCTCGGTTTCGTTTCTTACCAGTTGCCGCACAGCCGGGTTTCCGCCTCGCTCACGGCAGCTATAGCCATTTTTTCCTTTTTGTCCGGGGGCTGGAAGAGGCACCCCCTTCCCCTGCCTTCCCCTCAGCGGCCGGGGGCACCCGCGCCTTCACGGCAAAGACGCGCCGGTTCCCTCGGCGCGGGGCCGGCGGCGGTTCGCTGCCCTCGGGGAGCGGCGGGGAGGAACGGCCCCGGCCCGGCGGAGGGG